AAGTACGTGTTTATTTAAAACGCCAGCGGATAGTGACGGGTCCCGGAATTGAAAATATTTTCAAAATACAAGGTTAATAACGATTAAAACGAACAAAACAAACGGAATCCTCGAATCGTCCGGGTAAAATCGCCGGTTACGCGATAAGCGGATCGTAACAGTTACGGAAAAGCCGGAGGGGGGAGGGGAGGAAGGGGCGTATCATGTCCCCTCGCACCCTCCCCCCCCCCGAGGAACGCCCCCGCGCCGCCGATATTGTAATCTGTTTTCGTCGGCGAGAACCGTCGTACCCGAACCGCCTCTGTGCCCGTACCCGCGGCGGGCCGTTACGAAACGTCCGAGCCCGCGGGCATCATCCCGCAACAATCGAATATTGCGCGTTACGACGTTGTTGTTATCGTTGTCGAGCCCCGGACGGAACAATGTCCGCTGACCACCTCCGCCCGTTCGCCGCGCACAATAACAAACGCGCGCGTCATTAATCACCGTAACAACAATAGCGGTAACCGCGTTCCGGATCGGAATGCGGGCCGCGCGATCGTAATCGCACGTTGGTGCCGCGGAGTAGTTTCCGGTCTTCCACGCGCGGCGCGGATACACGGCGCGATTATTTATTTTTTTTTTCTACGGTTCGCGGATATTGCAATGACGGGCGCGTCTCGGCGCAGCGGTTTTTTAGCGACACCCGCGGTCGCCCGTGCGCGCGGTTCGGCGAGTAGCGGACCGTTTTGCCGCGATGCGCCGTTCGCCGTACCGCGACGGGTCCGGCCGGGACGACCGCGGCGTCGGAGCTACGGGCGGCCGCGGAATAGCGGCTATGAGGCGATTGGCGCGCGGACGACACGGCCCCTTCCGTTGGCCGCAGTTTTCTTTTTCCTATACACACGAACACCGTCCGCAGGCGATCCGTCTTACGCGCCGCTTGTCAACCGTTGAAATTCGCGGACACGATATTCAGCGGTTACGTTTTGTTGTACGCAAACAAATTTATTCGGCGTTTTCGGGAGGGGTGGGGGCGCGCCGAAGACTTCTCGCGACCGCCGCGGTTTCGCCCGCGTCCACGATCCTCCCGCCGTCCCCGAATCGACCCCCCGATCACGCGGCCCGCAAAGCCCTTAATCCGGTTCCGTTTCGCGCGACGCACGATCGTCGGCGTGGACCGCGCTTAACGCACGGCGGCCGCATAATAAACAATAGCGACGATATCGTTGATTTGCAGTTTGTATTGAAAAACCGTTCGACGACAGCGATATAATATTTCGCTCGCCGCGCGCACGCACGTCACCGCTGTCGGTGACTAATCGACGTGTCGTCGTAACAATAACGGCCCCGCCGCCAATACGCGCGTTTCGTCGTGGGCGCGCCGTTGCGCATTTATTTTCTCCGCCAATGGTCCAGTATTTTGCCCAGAGTTATTATGTGTTCGAACCGAAGTGGATCAATTAAAAAAAAAATAATAACGAACAAATACGTTCGATCGAAATCGTAATGTACGAAACGGTCAGCGGTGCTCGACCGCATGTGGGAAGGCTACACTATACAGTGTAAGTACCATTTCATTGTTAACGGATATTATTAACGTCTCTCGTGTTTCGAGAACGGAACTTTCGTTTACATGCCTTGCGCATTGTGTATTGATTGAATATTAATAAAAAAAAAAAAAAAAACACACACGAGCAGCACTAACAACTCACTGGTCGAGTTTTCCCCCAGCCGATTTGTAACCGTTACAATAGTTCGATTTTAATTTTTTAATGCTAAGAAATTGAATGAAAAAAGTCTTATCGAAATAAGATCCTAAAATAGTTCCCGAAATTTTCGCTCACATACGAAAATACAGCGGGGTCAGGGATTGAAAGTTCAAACCTTCTAAATAAACATCCTCGGAAACAATTTTACTAAAATATCTTTTTTATTTATGTATAAACATTTTTGGTAACTCACTTTTGTGAAGATGTAAGGATATTTAAAACTCCCGAAATTTCCTGCGAAAACGTGAAATCTTACTATAGGGAGTTAAAAATTTAAACCTCAAAAAGTCATATCTTTTATGCCTACGAATTCTATAAATAAAATTGCATCCCCTTGCTTTATTTTAGCGGTCTGTAGGGGTGGAGTTCAAATGTAAAAAAAAACTCCATTCTCCCGTAATAACACAGTGTTCATATTGAAAATTAAATCAACATTTTATAACTTCAATTTACCTATGAACAAAAATCAAATTTTCGAATTTGAGATTTTTTTTTCTCCGGAAGAAGCCACTAAAAGTCTCTAAATTGACCAGAAAAAAATTATATAAAACACACACAATGCAGCGTTTTCATTTCCGAAAATACTTTTATTTTTTTTTTTTAATCAAAATAGATATTTTTGATTGGGACGAAAACCATAATAATATCAATGATTTTATCGTTGTCGAACTGTTATTTTGTTAGGAAATATTAATTTTTCGAAATGTATTGTATTATTTACTCAGATTTATACAATAATGTTTATTGGCTAAAGGCCGGATTTAAAATTGCTCGAGATAATATTTTAAATTACCTAAATTTAATAATTATATTATTATATTCGATGTATGTATACGTATGCACTTAAACTAACGAAATGGGCGAGAAATGCTGAAAAAATGCTCTTAAAATGAAAAATAAAAGTTTCGATATTTTGAAAATATTTTTCATACGAAACGAGTTATGTGGTACTCGAAAAGCATTTTTATAGAACATCGCCTCAAAAAATACACGTTAAAAATTCGGGCCTTACTAATGGCCAACAAAATTGTTGGTTGCGCGTGGATATCCGCGAAGAAATCTGTCGGCTTTATTGTTCCCTGTCATGTCCATGAATGCAATGTAATATACGAACTATAATATTAATTTTACTATAATTATTTATTATTCACGTCAAACGTCAAACGCAAATTCTTATATGCCTACAAAGTTCGAAAGTTCGCGAAACAACAAAAGCTAACAAATAACTTTACTATAACGAATTTCTTTGGACGAGTTGCCGACTATAATGTAAATTACGGTGACGGGGAAAAAATAATTTATTAGACGAGGATTTTTTTTTTCTCTGCTTTTAGTTTTAAGTATATTTTTCATATTGTACGCTTTTGCGTCCCTGTTCCAATTTTTTTTTTCTCCGTTTCACGAACACATCTCGGTAAAAATTTATTCTCCCGGCGACGACGATCGGAATACCTACCGATCGCACGCCTCCGGACCGGTTTCGCGGTTCGCGCGCGGATACTTACCCGTATTATACACGATAGTGTATAATTATAACAAAATATTTAATACATAGTTAATTTTTTTTTTGTTATTATTATCGTACCGTACGGTACCGTTCAACCGTTGCCGAGGCTACTGATGCCGATCGGGTGTACACGAACGCGATTGGAATGCTAATAGAAACCCTCTACCGGCCGCGTAAACGTTTCTGCCTGTAATATTATAGCGTTACACGTCTCGCGGACGGGGAAAAATAATAATAATTGTAACGTTATTATCGTCGTGCTATTACAATTACAATTGCGAAATCAGAATTGCACGGCATTAGATTTAACGTGTACACGGACAGTGTTGTGTTTCGTCTACACGGATTTATCTCTATACAGATATACTTTTATATCTTTTACCGTATCTAGATAAATGAGTAATAACGGTCAACTGAGCCGTAGCCCGAGATAAATAATCGAATCATTCAGATAAATTTTTTTAAACCGTAGTAATTGTCGAATTTTACCCGAAATGGGAGACGATTGCGTTGTACTGTGTCTGCTATAATATTACGCGTATCTTTTTTCGGTTCGCTGTGGATTAAAAGAGCATAACCCTAGGCATTCGAGTTTTTTTTTTTAGTGAATTGAAGTGATAAAATGTTGATTGAATTTTAATATGAGAATTTAACCACGTTGCTGGTGGGTGTTTTTAAGCCTTTTACGACCCTGTATGCCTCTAAATAGAGCACGGGGGATGACATTGTGTGTGTGTGTGTATTGTTTTAGTATTAAAAATGTGCCTTATTGTAGTTTAAACTTTCAACTTCCTCCCCGAAAATTTGTATTTTCAAATAGTCAGATATCTCATTTTCACAGGAAATTGTGAATTTCCCTTAATCCTTTAAAATACGCCCTTACAGACCCACGAAAGTAAGTAATTCGGCTAAAATGTGTTTATATAAATATAATTTTTGTCAAGGATGTGTCTTAAGAAGGTTCAAACTTCTAACGTCCGATCCCACCATCGGCTTGTTTGCTATCAAAAATCTCGAGAACCACTTACCTATTTTGATGACTTTTTAGTTAGATTTATTATTATTATAAAAAAAAAAAAAAAATAAACGGATATATTTCACACACGATAGGCCACTGTTGTAGATGAGAGATTGGGAAGGTAGAGGGGAAATTTAATGTAGACGTGTACGCAAAGATTAATCGTTGCGAATGAAAAATGATTCTGAGCGGAGTTCGGTTATACAAGTTTTGACCGCCGTAATATTTACGATTTGAAAATAATATATTTCGATTATTTTTCCGGTTTTTCTTATTTATTCAAATCAAACAAATTCTCGAACAATATATCAATTAGGTAGGTTAAATATTTTTTAAGAAAATTTACTAGAGTTGAAAATCAGAGAAAAATTCCTGGTAGAAAAGTTGTTCACGGGAAAAAAAATAAACATAATGATAAAACCAATACATTTCTTTCTTCTCACAATCTAAAATTACAAAAATTAATAAAAAAAAATTCACGTAGGCCAAAAGAATAATGTGGATAGAAGTTATATTAGGGAAATTGTGGAGTAGTTAGGTGGATATATAACGGCCGTTGATGTGGAGAGTGAAAATTATTGCAGTAGCATTACAAGTCGACCACACTTATGCGTGCATATTATATAAGATAAAAAAAAAATGATAAGGATAAGAGGAGAAACAATTCGCAAGGGTTCTTTACTTTAATATCCATGCATATGAAAATAATATTATGCGTTTGAATTTTGTGTTTAATACACTTATAATTTATTATCATCACACACAATATATTTCACAATCAATTATTATCTTATTGACTATATGATAATATTTACACGACTTTCTAAATCTAAAACACGTGTTTAGGTAGGTACATCAAAATATCAAAATTAAATGCTAAATCAACAATTCAACAACTATATTATAATTCAAAATTTACAATAATAATAATAATAATATTACACATGCGTATTGTATAAAATATATTTACATATATAGCGAACACCGTACAAAAATTACATATTTTCTGACCGAGTAAAAAACAATTATTACAAAATATAAATAAAAATACTTTCGTTGGATTCGGGCAAAAAATAAAACCGACAATAGAAGAATTGCGACTTCCTTAAAAATGTTAAAATGCAAAAATTTAAATTCTAAATATCAAAGATTATCGAAATCTAATATACATTTAAAAAAAAAAAAGTGCCTATAGTCTCTTACATGCGGGGTCGTAGTTTGTACTTAAAACTCCTAATATATATGTATGTACATTTCGAAATAAATTTACTTATGGAACTTGAAACGGTTTTTTTTCACTACCTATATAATAATATAGTCCACGAGTAATATTTTTGAGATCGACATGAGGATTATTATAATATTATTTACAGAAAAAGTCGCTAAAGTCCATACATCTAATATACGACCAGCATATTGCATACGAAAAAAATAAACACCCAGAAGAAAATCATCAGAAAATATTATATAGCGGATCACAATACTATATACGAACAGCGTCAAAATCGGTTTCGTTTTAGCAATTTATCTTCAAAAATATGATGCGAGTATGTATAGCGATTTTTCGACACTTAGTGGTTATTTTCACTCCGATATTATTTTATGCATTATTGTTTTTATGATAGATTATAATGTTGATTATGATAGTACACCAATATATTCTTAATGATATTGATAACCAAGGTATACTAACGTTATTAGCAATACAAATCCAAATTGTCTGTAGTTTTTTAACGCTTATAATATTATCTATGTAATATCTACTTTTTTATTATTATAATTTTTTTTTTTGAAAATCTAATTATCTTTATCTATTGAAACTCTATTTATCTTTACCTAAATTTTACAATAGTTTAAAAATGTACCTGTATTAAAAAAAAAAAAAAACATACATTTTACCGATTGGTTGATCTTTTTTTTTTTTATCAGAGATCATAAATTATCCTCTATGCAGTTTAAGCTTTACCTAAAAATTCAAATTTATACGCTATTCAATAATTTATAAATATTTTTTTAATCCGATGTCAATAAAACTCGATAAATCAAAAGGACGGACAATAAAACAAATAGGACGTGAAAATAACAACTGCCTTTTTGGAAATTATGATTGTTATTTTATTTGTATAAGTCGCGTGTGATGTCGTGCCAAATCCCAAAACGGATTATTTAAAAAACCCGCGCAGTACGATAAATGTAACCGTCGCGTCGTTGACGGGTGTCACATCCGTTTATTATTATTATTATTATTATTTTTTTTGATAACCGCGCGCCCGGGATTTTAATTTAGATTAATTTCTAACAGAAACAACAATGGAAACGACCGAGCACGTTTTGACCCCAAAGCCACGAGCGGCAGAATAATTTTTTTCCACGACATGTCGAAACTGTATTTTTTATTATTACAATACTTAGGTATACTTAATCGTAATTAAAAATTGATCTATGCATAGTGCACACACACACACAATAAACGGTACATTGGATGTCGTCAGTGTGCATGTATTATAAGCTATTATCTTAATTAAATTCCAAATCGATATATACGACATCATAATGAATATTATAATGTGTTACAAGGTGATCGCTTTTGAAATTGGCGAATCGTTATAATAGCAAAACGGTTCGTAATATTTTTAATTTATAATAATATATCGCTCGGGAGTGGCGGGGGGTTCGGGGAGGGGAGGGAAAGAAACTACCACTCCTCGCAACGGCCAGTATAGCGAATTGCAACGGGGCTTCCGAGTAAACATAATATTATTATCATTATTATTATTACGGTCGGTGCGGACCAAGGACTTATCGAGGTTGAAATGTGGGCGACGACGACGACCGTTCGAAATTGTAACCGGCGAAAGAATAATATTTTCGATGTTGTTGTTGTGAGGTCCGGTATAAACGGGTTTTTTTTTTCTTTCAAGCCAACGACGACGATATTATGAACGTGGTGGAAATGGAAAGTGTTTTTGACCGGAACAACAATGCGGACGGTCGGGCAACGGAATGGCGCAAAACGACATCATAATAATGTTATTGAAATGTACACATTAGTAGCTGAAACACTTGTCGTCGTCAGTCGGCGAGAACACCTCTTCCATTTTTTCCAATTTGATCAGGTCGTCTTCGAAACACAGTTTACAGCTAAAACACATAATAGGCCGTAAGATATAAGGTCCGAAGTATATGGAATATTGTATATTATATAATTTTTCCCGTAGAGATCCCGTTATTAGTATATTATAATTTAATAAAAGAGCGGCCGGGATGTGAGCGAGCCGTGCTTGGCAGAACATGATCAATACGGTTTTTTGTGTGACAAAAGAGTAGTAAGCCTGAGTAAAATAGAGTTAGATTTTGCTCACTGTGTGTCCACTAGAAGTCTAGAAAATAAATATCTATTACACAACTATTGAATTAGTAGATTTTGTAACAAAGTATTATATTTTATACGCGAAATACTCTCACTGGTGTGTAGAAAGGTAACTGGAGAATATCTAAAATTTAAGGGGACGATTGAGTGAATTTGCTCAAAGGAAAATGAGTGGACTCGCAGTAAAATTTCACTAAAAAATGCCTTGCGGACCAATGAAAACAAATTTAATTTTTGAACTGCAAAAAAAAGACAATTTTTCATCGCTTGGAGCACCCAATAGATTTTAGAACATTTGAGTTGTTACATAGGCTTTTATAATACTACGTCATTTTACTCGAGTTTGGTCGTCCGGCCAGAGGGATCGTCATCACAGGCCTTTCCTCGCTTCGGTGGTATGGCTTCGTACAGACTATTCTCCACGATAACGACGGATGAGGCGGTCGCAGCCGTGTTGTCGGGGGCTTTCGATCTGGACGCAGAAGAATTGATTTTCCTGTGATGCAAAAAAAAAAGAAAATCTAGTTAACATTTTTGACTATACCATAATATTTTACCAAACAATGGTGGCACTCACCCCGCCGGGAATCGCACTCTGGTGGACGACAGGTTGGACCTGTTGAAAGTCGTGATCCAGTTGCTCTGACTCCTGCGAATAATAATAATATACGTTCGTTAATAAAACTGGTTTGAACAAACGAATTATAAACCTAATATTAAAAAAAAAAAAAAAAAATAAAACCACACCATATTATGATAATATATCGGGTTTTTATTATAAAATATTATGTTTACATGTTTTCCATATCGTCTTTTAGCGGCGTTGTCGACGTGCTCGATATACACGACAGGTAAAGGCCGTTCCTGCGACAGAACAATAACAATTAGACGATGCGATGGTTTATAATTATTTTAACGTAAAAAAATAGTTACGATATAATGTTGGTATCGCGTCTACTCACTTAAAGTATCCGAAATACAGCAGGCTCAGGGCGACCATGGACAGCATCAGACAAAACAGTGCGACGTACACCGCCGTAATGACGATGCCGGTGTTATCCGTACTACCGATATCTCGTTTCGATTTATCCTCCGGGTATACACGGGAGATTTTCAAAATTTTCGGGTTTCCTTCCAATTTACTGTGAGTGAAAAATGTAAAGCAAAACTCAAAAAAATAATACTCAAAAGGCTAGTACCGATGATGAGCCCATCGTTGTTTTATTAGAGAAATCAAAAGGCAAAATATACAGAGTAATTTATTACGATCTTTCCGACATCTATATACAACGATTAACGATTGTTGACTAAAAACGATTCTGATCAGAGCTACTATTAGTCGTATTTCGTTCTTCGTTATTAAGGTAAACCAGAAATAAACAAAAATTATACAAACAAATTACCGGTTAATAGCTTTCATAAGGAACCCGAAGAAAATTAAAAACGACCTTCTCGATGCATCAACTATAGATACAAAACGCCGTACAAGAAGGTTCCTTTAATAGTATTTGATTGGAGCAAGATTTCTGGCAGAAAATATTTCTGTTGTTTACAGACACGAAAAAAAAAAAATAACGCATCATAGTAAAACCAGTACATTGTTTGTTTCGCTTGGAATCGAAAACCACACACGATAGATATGGACACTGATAAACCTATGCAATAACACTTGAGATAAAAGTCCGGTATAAAACCCGGTTTTCCGGCGTTGAAGCCACTAAATAATAGATCGATAATACTGCGGCATAACTTACCTCTCCAACCCGGACGCCGAAATCACAGAACCGTCCGAATTGTCGACCGCGTACACGACCATCGTCCTCTCGGTCCTCCAACGACCGTCCGCATACGTGTTTATCACGTTGTCGACCAGCGACATCACTCTGAACCCCGATATGTCCGACAGCTGCGATTCCACGGCCGCTTCGTCTTCGGTCGTGCTGAATGGCACGTTTACCCGAACGACATCTGTGTACTTTAGCAGCTTAACCTAAAACCGGCCAAATGGTTTTCAAAACTTTTCTGGCAAGACTAACCAAAAACTTTGTAATTTTTCCGAATTTGATATTTATATCTTACAGGCGCAAAAGAAATTACAACACGTATTTTCCTTTTCCGCTCAAATCTGTTTAAAGGACGTAATACTGTTCACATTTAATTCCTCCGTCACACAAACATACGACATAAAAAATTATTCGACTTCAGCGGGGACAATTTGTGATGTTATTTTTGATATTTAGATGAATTGCCCTATATAATCAAACACAATAACAACAACATTATCCGTGCAAATGCTTTGGTTTTTCGATATTTAAAATTTAAGCAAAATATACAACATTTAAATTACGATATTAATTTACTCATATCTCGTTTAAAAATTAAAATACCTTAAACAAAATAACCACAGTCAACGTTCTTTTTTTTATGTTTGATAACTATACTTAAGTCAATTCGCTCTAAATATTTAAACTAACCACACAAAGTTGTCCCTGTTGAATAAAAATTGACTATGTCGTGTGTTTGTAAGATGCAGACAGCGCGTGCGTGTGAGACGTTTTCACCTACATTTACTGTCTCTGCCAAACTAATAGACGGCAATATCAATCTCACCTACATTTCGAATACTTAAAAAGTATTCGAGTATATTCAATTAAATACTTTTACTTAAAAAACCTCAAGGCTGGCCCATTTAAACGATAAAACAATGATTTTTTTTTTGCAAAAAATCTAACTTACTCTATAGTCCCGGAAATTCAAAATAAAAAAAAGTTCCATCTATTCCAGTTTTCGTTATATTTGTACTCCAAATAGTATGAAAATTAATTTAAAATAATGATTTTAATATTAAAAGACTCACCGTTACGTTCATCGTCGACTCAGATCCCTCGGGTTTGCCATCATTGTCCTTAGCCACCACTTGGAATGTTTTTTCCGCGACGCAATTGTCCATCGGCCGGGCACAGTATATGGTCCCCGTCTCTGGGTTCACGACGAAATCGTTGGCGTCATCACCTCTCAACGTATATTGGATTTTCCCATGTTTTCCCGCGTCTTTGTCCGTCGCCTAAAACAAACCGAAAGCCGTACTAATGTAACCTCATAAACATGTACATACATATATTTGTCTTTAAGTAATTATAAGTAATTCTCAACTCATAGCCAGTAGGCATGGCATATAATTTGTGATCCGTGATGCCAAAGATTTTTTCGATTTTTCTTTTTTTTTTGTACACCGAAATGATAGAAAAAAACAAAATTAGTATCCGAAAAATCGCACACACAGCAATATACCTTACGTTTCGTTCTTGTATTTTCTATAACGCAATTGTGTGAGTAAAGATTTAAAAATCTGTTCGTAATAAAAAAATAAATAGAACAATCATTTAAATATAAGTGACGATGTGCATATAAAAATCTGAGCAACAGTACCCATCTCGAAATTTAAAACTTGTGAAGAAACACCAAGCTCAAAAATCTAAGTTATCATAATATTTACCTATATAAGAAAACTAGAAATCTAGTAAATCTTAGAAAAAATTGATCCTACAGTTGATAAGCCAAAAACCAAAAAAAAAACAGATTTCCGGAACATGGTAGAGACACGGTAGAGATATGAACTATTTTTTTGCACGTGCTTGTATTAATATATTTTATTAATAATATTTCTATAAAATGTTGAAATCTACGGTAAGTAAAAAATACTTAACTCATATGCCGGGTTGCATAAACGATTGTTTAGGATTTAACCATTAGCGGTTTTAATGACTCGCTAAAAATTTTTCGTTGCATAAACATTCTTTAATTTTTAACGGGCCATTAAGGTTTAGACCTAACGGTCCATTAGTTAATCACCCGATTTTGACTCATTAAATTTTAAATGACTTATATATATGTGTTATAATTAATCAGTAACAATAATTTTCCCTTATATCATAGGTAATATGGTTTTCAAAAAAATGATAATGAAAAAACGATTGATGGGCCGACTTGTTAATTCAATTATTAAAATGTTTATTGAATGCACTATGGCTATTTATTATGATTCATCATCCAGACAGCCGCTGGTGTTAAAATATAAGAGTATAGATAATATATATTTATTTTCTTTGAATAATTGTACAATTTTCATGAAACTCATTAGCGATTTAACAAACCACTAAAATTTTAACGAGCTATTAATTTTTCGTTTAAAATTTACGGAATGATTTTCATGCAACCCAGTAATAGTGTAGCTAATATAACGTTAGACACTCATCACCTCGGAAAAGTTTTTCGAAATTTAATTTTTAGATAATTTAAGAATTTAGTTTTAGTTTAAATGAATTTGGGCAGTAGAGTTTTTAATTTCTTTCAACCCATTCACAAAATATTCCACATTAGGTGTTTTCGTTTTATGGCAAGGGTAGTGGAGCACTATTCAAACGTCACGCGTCGTTCCTCCATTTAAATGACGTTTCACTACTTTCCATCTACTCACAAAACGACGTAATTATAAGTGCAATATCTCATCAACAGGTTACTGGAAATATATGTCATTTTATTTAAATTGTAATCTCACTTATTTATGGAATTTTTAATATGAATTTTTATTTGAAAATGAACATTTCGTAGCAGTTTTATCTCCAAAAATAAAGGTAACAAAAAAAAAAAAAAAAAAAAACGAGAATGTAATATATTAGAGCTGCGTGTTTCTTAAACTTTTTGAAAAAATAAATATTTTCCGTGATAACGAGCGTCTTATATTATGTTGATCGTCCTGTGCTAATCGATTAACTTGACCGGTATTTATAATCTGTCTATCTATAGGATATAATATTAATAATACGAGATTTCGGTATCGGTTGAACCGTTAACAATATTCTAAAATTAATAAAAATAAATTGAAAATATATTTTGTTTTAAATAATATTATTACATAATTTTTAATTATTCTTTAACTCGACGCGTGACGGTCCATAATCATGTACCTTACACGTTTCGCTCTTAAACAGTTTTCTCACATTTTTCACTGTCGCGGTCCACGTTCGAAAATTTAAATGTGTTTATATTATAAACTATGTGAAAAGGTCGAAAAAATATTTCACATCTAACAATATTACAATATTATAATACACATTATGTAGATGTTATTTAAAAAAAAAAAAAAAAAAAACATTTTTCCCATAAACGAGAATATATAAAATATTTGTTGGATACGGACGAAAGTCTGCTCTGCCATGTATAGAAGATTTCGATAACTTTCGATAGGTCGTTAACACGATGTCCATACGCAATTCGTTCTTTTTAGGGTCATGTTATAGGCAAACAATTTATCGTTTATAATGAAAACTAGAGAATGAATGGGAAAAAGGGATATACAAGTTTAATGATTAAAAAACTTTCAGAACGGTTTTTTTTTTTTTAAAGGGATTCTATAAGAAAACTTTGATGAGAAAAAATAAATAGAATTGTATTATCGAGAGACTTTTAAAAATATCACCGCGTAAATAAAATAATATAATGTATATGAATGTTTCCTGAACCATAATATTTTGATGGCGACGAGTAATATGATTTTGCGCGAATTTACATGAATGTATTTGATTATGTTTAAATAAAATACATAGTTGAAATACACATATTTTTCAGATTTTGTTTTAGTAATTCTCACATAGAAGTTACGTATTTGTTGTTTTTTATGTTATGAGCAACAGATTTTTAAATAATTAACACTGTAAACGAGTTTTAAAATTTGTAAGTTAATATTTTAGTTTACTGTATACATCATATACTCTGAATATTTTAGTCTAATTTTTGGGAGAAGGAACAAACAAAAAAATATACATTCATTTTTTTTTTTTTTTTTACGCCACATTAATTATCATAACAGTAGATAGATACTTGTAAATATTACGAAAAAAAAGTGTCTCGTGATAATAGTATTTGGAATTAGGTATCTCCTATCATAAACTAGATACAATTTACTTTCAGGAAAGATGCTACACACGAAAACCCGAGTAAGATTTCGGGTAGAAAAGTCATTCGCAGACACAATAAAAAAAAAAAAAAAACACCGATACATTCCTCACTGCACTTGAAAAATGCAAAATAAAAGCTTTACTTTTTAAGTGTATATTTTTCCGCGAAGCGAATTATGTATGTATTATATATACTTAGAATACATTATTCTCCTAAAGAAGCCGTGAAAAAAAAAAATGCATTTTTTCCTAATAATTGATCTTTGTATACAAAAACGTTGCACTCGTAATAATAATAAAAAATATTATTCTTTATTGATATAATATCAGCAGCTATTGCGATAATTTCGTTAATACGTAATAATAGATAGAACACGGACGGGACAGATCAGTTTTTCAGTCGATCACAATCGGATCACGTTTTCGAGTGGGTTTTTCAGTAGGTAAGTATAAGTTAAAAAAAAAAAAAAGGCCCGAGAGCAATTTGCGTATAGGAACAATAATAATATCGAATGTAGGTGAGAATTACGATGTGACAGTAAATTATACCCCACGCATAATCACAATAATTAATTAATTTCAAATTGAATAAATTTAAAATACAAACGTATAGGTACTGCGTACTTAAATAAATATTATTTGTATGGGTTTTTTTTTTTTTTTACGTCTTGTACATACGGCACGGTATGTCGGATAAGTCATAAACGGTAAAAACTATTATTTATTTTTTTTGCAGGTCATCGGTAAAACGTGACGAACCATATACCTATTAAAATATTATTTGTAACGATTAAACTATAAACGAGTAAAATAATAATGTAGGTTAATTACTGCAATATCGACTATACAATTAATTATCAAGTATGTATTTTATTTTTTGTGCATATACAAGATCGGATTTATAACGCGGACGAAAAAACCGATACTTTCGAGTGTACAAACAAAAATTGAAAAGCCGACATAGTTCGTACTCGCGTGTGGGCTACTCTCTGTTGAAGGTGAAAAGCACAGCCGTGTATTTACACGTTTTGCGTACCGGGACCGTCCAGTTCCTTTTATTCCTTTTCGTGTTTATAAAACAGATTTGTTTTCAACACTGATGATTCGAGCTACTGAATTTTTTCCTAAGCTAGTTTAAAATTTTGGTTAGGTCGTATTAGAAAAAACAATTAAATAACTGTATTTTACGATTTATTAAAATATTACGACACCATTTTGTGATGTCGCACCCGGTGCCAATGCCCTCCCTCTAAATATGTCCCTGGTGAAAAATCTGGAAGATCAATGGATAATTAGAGTAATTTAGTAAACACGAGTACAATAAACTGAAAGCGACGATTTAGAAGAAGATATAAGCGAAGATTATGGGCGGAGCTCGGTAAACTGGAAAGGTACACATTTAGTCGTGTCGTTTTCCCCAGGAATTCTGCGAAAATCGTTTACAAAAATAAAACCGATGTACCGTCGTTTGTTGTCATTATTTTAAAAAAAAATGTCGAGAATCTCCGAACGTTTTTCAAAAAAAGTTCCGCCGGGCGGAAAATCTGTATATTTTAGTGTGCGTACCGAACAAATCGTATTATCTTTATTAACCGTAAACGTGTTCCGGGAGAGGACAAAACACATTATATGAATACTTGAAGTCTAAAACGCAGAAAGAATTGTACCTTAATGATCTCTTAAGTTTTACGCATTATTAAAAAAACAAAAAAAAAACAAATTCATCGTTTCAGCATCATTTACGAACCTGTACGTGTTAATCAATATAATCACCGATACACTATATTATATAATAGTGTGTATTATGTAAACGTGTTAATTGGTAATAAAGGCGAATTTTGTTTTTGATACGAGTTCGTTAAATTAACAATAAATAATACAAATAATAGCCGATGGCCAACAGATAATTGAAAATCAAACAAAACGATTATTTTAGCGAACTTTTTCTTGTTAAACGATTATTCTTATCGTATTGTAAAAATACGATATGTTGTTCAAAAGTTATCGTGAAAACGCGGCGTCGTTTTATTTTTTTATTTTTTCTATTGAAGATAAGATTACCGCGGTAAAGCGGTATTGAACAGGGATTGAAAGGGGAAAAAAAAAAACACAAGATTAGAACTCGCGTAAATGAAATTCGACACGCTGTAAAATGACGCGGCTGCAATAAAGAATATGAACTGTCGCGAGACCGTTTTCGCGATTTATTTTTCACCGGTCTCTCCCGATTGCACTGCACCATTTGAAAGACAATTCCTCTCCCTAATCGCCGATATTTTTACCAACTATATAGGTATGCGAACAACACAATCTTATTTTATAACTAATTATGGGGGGGGGCGGGGCGGTTTACATTGCGAGTATAACGACAAGGTTTCAAGTTTTACAAATAATGTATAATAAATTCAATAATGTAAATTATATGTATTATTCTCAGAAAACCTTTTTTCGGTCACTGAAAATTATCCGATTTCTTCACACGGTTTTTTAAAAGATGCGGATTTTCCATCCGGAGGTATTTTATTTGAAGAATTTATCGACGTTTTCAATAGTCCGCCACCAGATCCTTTTTTCTTTCTTTTTTATTTTTCGCTATCGGAAACGCGATATTTCTTTGTTATCAAAATAAATAACACTGTTCCCGTTCGATTTGATTTCGATCGGTTATCGAAAACACGCCGAATATTCATATCGCTATACGGAAACTATATCCGAAACACCGTTGCCGTGTTAGTAACGGATTACCAAAACGAACTTGCCGAAGCGACAGAAGTGACCGAGACGTTAGAGGACAGTAACTCTCACGCGAGACGTGGACGGTTATCGTTAATATTTAAAAGACGTGGTCCGCCAGGGTCGCACATCAACGTGACATCGTATATTCACTAGTCGCGTACATTCAGGGACTGTAAAACGGGGAGGGAAGCGAGGGAATATATCCCGGACCCCATGACGTTATTTTCTTATATATTTTGTAAATAATAATACTCCGCACAAATCATCTCTATTTCTCTCCGTGACAGGATCATTTTACAGCCACTGCGTCCATTGTTCGTATTATTTCCGTCGGTCCGGCGCTGGTGGTCTTCGTTTCTCTACGCGATGAATGTCCACAGCGTGTCCATTGCCCGCCCCTTTAAATAACCTCTTCTCGACTTTTGAACTTTCCCCGGTGAGAGTAAAAAAAAAAAGGTGCTTTTTTAAAACCGACCGGAACACGGTATACTTGTGAAGTGAAAAAAAAAAAAAAAAAGTATTTTGAAAATATCCCGAATACGGGTGAAACTTTATTCGGAACCCGTACGCGGTCCGGGCGGCGGTGATCCACAACCGCGCCGTACATAATTATTACATTGATTATAATACAGACGCGCGGTTGGTCACCTACTGCGCGGCCGACGCGCCGCGGTCAAAACAACTCGAAATAATCGTCCCGCCGGCGACGCTGTGGCACCGCCGGTATGTATGCACAATAATAATAATAATAATAATAATATTCGACCGTGTAACAATATAATATCGATTCGTTGTGTAAGCGCGCGATATAAACAAGAGTAACGACAATTCGGTACGATCGATGTCCGTTTAAGGCGTCTCCGTTTCGCCTTGAACGACGGTTACCAGTTGTAACCGCCGTGTGTAACAACCGCACCGGCTCGCGCGCGTGTTCGTGGCGATACGCCGGATTTTTTTTTTTTTGCTTTTCGGCGTTTCGCCGGAGACAATACCGGACGACGACGACGACGACGGTAATATTACGCGACGGCGACGTCGTTTTCAACGTCCGGAATCCGCAGTAGACTTGTGTCGCATAATTTAACGCGCACTCGACCTAGACCCCGCTCTCGATCGTGCGCACCGCGTTTCCGAATCGTATTATAACCGGCGACGACCTCGTCCGGTTTTCACGGACGGCGTATTTGAATATTTTACGAAAACATTGTATCACACGCGGTTTTTAATAACAGGTACCGTGTAGTGTCGTTGTCGTTTAGCAGAATTTTCGCTCACGACTTTTGTCCGCGGTCACACGGACATCCGTACAGTATAATATTGTCCGACCCAACCGTGTTTATACCGCGATTTTAATCCGGCCCTGCGTCCGACCAACGACCATCACGCTAGATGAACTCTCACAAGCCGCGCGTACGGTCTACGTCGTGGAAACTAAACGTATCCTGTGTCCGAAATGGGATATTCTAGACACCGTGCAGACAAAACAAATGGTAAACTGTGTCAACTAAACAACTATAAAACTTAACCCGAGTCCTACATGTACTCCAGCTGTTGACCCAAACCTGATGCATAGACCCGAAGAAGTGGTGTATTATTAATAGTGTCTCGAGGTGAAAACCTAAAACCGTTATCTTCTTCTGTTCGATGAATAATATATTGAATATTCGGTTTAAACCTTTAAGTCCATAATATAACGTCCAAACGATTACCCTCCAGCTTTCCCTGTCTAAAGATACTTTCTTCCGACCCTCTCATGGCTTTGCTCTTCTTACAATTTCCTTCGCTCTATCTTTCTCCCTTCGTCTTGGCTTTCTGAATGGTCCAATTAAGATGACCAATATAGTCTTCAAAAACCCACGACGGGTTTAAATAAACCCCGAACTTCAGGTACAGATCATGTAGAAAACGGTCCGGAACTCTTAAGTTGCAGGTGTAACCGATCGGGAAAAGTAACCGGATTCCGTGGAAAACTATCAAAATAAAATTATTCGAAAGAAATTTATGATAATATTACTAAAATTATTTCGGTGAGATCCGATAATGCAGTAGGAGTTGTAGAACGAATTTTTTAAACATTATTTTCAACTGACCCCCGTCTGATAACAGTCCACTTATACTTATAAAGGCCGATGTCGCAATGAAAAACAAAATTCCATACCAGTGCCAGGCAGGTACGTCTGCTGTATACATATATAAGTAGTAATTAAACATAATTGCGGTATTCGTTATGAAATGAAACGGCTTGAAGTCAACAGTTTTAACGTGGAAAATCAATTAATACGAGAGATAGTTCTCGGCACACTCGTCGGTCGTAATATTATTATAATAATATAGGTAATATCAAAGCGAAGTTTAAGAAGTTAGATAACTGACTATTGTGGTTTAGATGGTGTGTAAATGGTTCGAAATTTTCAATTGGTCATCCACTCGGTTATCCGGTCGTCTCGTATACGTATTTATTGTACAGTGTATAATGCGCATTCGAGAATAATATTTGTATGGTTACAGGTGTACTTACTGGGTGGACACCGACAGATTTCGTCGATTTGACAAGCTGTCGACTGTAACGACTATGGGTAGATATTATAGATATACGATATCGAATTTGACGCGTTTAGAAAATAACATGTCAGTAGTTGTGCGAGTGGCTGTTATATTATTATACCCAAATTATTTTTTATACGTCTCGCCCACAAAATTTTAACGATTAAAATATAATATCGTTTTCAATAGTCATACGCGACTTTTACAACTAAAATAAATACAATATACGAGTGTTATTTATCGCAAGCAAAACTTACTTGGTAAAAACTCATTAAGATGCAAAAGTTATCGTGTGATATAAATCAATCCAAGAGAGGCTTCGCCCCCCATGCCCCTTAGAAATATCCAATTACCTAAAATTCTATAATTATTATTAATATACAATTATGAATTAGTTATATTAATGCGTTTATCAAATTAAAATTCCATGTTATTCTGTTTTAATTTATTTTATTATTTTTTACTATTGTTTCTAAATGCAAAATGAGAATCGTTGTTGTTGCTACTGTACATTTATGTTTCTGCCCGAAATACCGCCACTGGAAACGGATTATTCGAACAGTGCAGATATAAATAGTACGGCGAGTGCAGGTTTTCTTAAACGCAATAAAATAACTAAACTGAAAATCGGAGATAGGCGATACCAGACATTTACAATTTGATATTCAAAACCTATACCCGATACCTATAGTCGATTCTCGATACTGTATATCTGTTCAGAACTAAAAAACAAAATAAAAAACCTTAATCGCTATTCATTAATAATATCTGTTGTTATTAAACATCGATTAGAATATATAGTAATTCAGAAATTAATTTATGAAAACGCATTATAAAATAAACACGTTAATACTGCAGCTGATGGGTATGCCGGTAGAGAACAAATTGGAAAGAATGAAATATAAATTTGGTTATTTAATTTGTATCTGCAAGCTTTAACGATAGATCATTGCTAACGAAAAACAATTCTTATGAGAGTCGTATTAGTCGTAATTTTTCCCTTGTTGCCAAGAAAACCCGATAAAAATTATACCAACAATTTTCCAATATACTAAGAGAGTCACTGGGAAAATCGAAAATTGACCTCCTCAATGCATCAACAAGATCATAGATTCTATAGGAAAGTTTCTGCAAGGTTGTTGGTCGGCATAAAATTTCTGATGGAAAAGTCGTTTACAATTACAAAAAAACACACATCGTAGTAGAATCAATACACTGTTCGCTTCGCTTAGAATCTGGAAAAAAATACGAATTCGTTCAATCTAATCAATTTAAACCAATGGCCACGCGGTTATGACTTTATCTCACTTATTATAATGTTTTAACATAATAAAATACCGAATTAGATAACGAAAATCACCGCGATTTCGATATTCGATTAATTATTATCGAGGTATCGAATCCGCCCATGCTTACCGAAAACACGCACACGAATAGCCTAATAGAAAATAGCTCGCGTCGCAGCCTTGATGATAAATAACGAGAACTATTGTTTTCTGGTAAGTGAACACGTGCGCACGTGTTACATGTACGCACGCGAACGGTTACGTCGTGACCTTTTGCCCGAACTTTCAGCACATTTTCGGCCGATTCGCGCCCAAACGGTCTACGCCCCGAAAAAAAAAAAAAAACGATACGCGCGTTTATATTAATACGATATTATTGTGACAAGTCGACGGCGGCGTATCGGCGCTTACCTTGACCTGGGCGACGTGTTTGGGTGCGACGGCGTCGGCCACGTCCGGCCCGGGATATCCTACCACCACGCGCCGGTCCGGGAACACCGGCGGGTTGTCGTTGGCGTCCTCGATGACCAGCTGTACGAGCGTGACGGTCGGGTCGTAGGCGATGTTGTACGTGTCGGCCAAGTGCAGCGGCTGGACGGCTGTCGGTTCGTCGGGCGGCGGACAGTGGACCTTCAGTTTCAGGTACACGGACGGTTCGTCCATGTCTTCGAACGAGTACGCCTCCCTGTCCACGGGGTTGATCACGTTCACGGCCCCGGTCGCCGGGTCCACCTTGAAGAAATCGGTTCCGTCTGTGAACAGTCCGACAAATCAGGCGGCGATCGTCGCAAGATAATAGGCAAATAAACAAATAACAATTGCGCATAGGACGCCATCTTTGGTAGAATGACGACTAGTGACTGCGGAGCACGTAAATACTTAACAGTCGAAACGAGCCGCGGATAAATAATTCTAGACGACGAATACGTTAACGCGGGGAAAACGATGGGTTAGTCGAGTAGATTTGCGAGTCGAGTGCGGACGCAAGCCGGAGAAGGAGACGTAGTACAGTACAATGAAAAAGTAGCTACAGGCTATTAAAAGATGATACACGGAGGCATGCGGAGTAGATGAGCAAATGGCGATGGGATGGATATAGTATGTAGAAGACGGGGGAAAGAGTGCAACTGATCCCATTTGCGTGTGACCTACTCAATATTGGAAGTTCCACTAGTACACGGTAAAACAGTACACGGACGAAAAGTCCTAAGATAAGTCTATGGGCCGTACGCCGAACTCCGACGCGGGAGAATGTAGGAAACGTCGGAATAATAGAAATTAAGAACAGAAGACCAGAATTGGGCTGGTCGCGCTCGGATAAAAGAGGTCGCCCCTATTAAAACGGTTATTAAAGAAGATTGCCAAATTGGTGATGTAAAGGTTAGGCAGACCACGTTCACGGTAGGAATACTAGGTCGACGAGGATGTAAAATCGGCGGAACCGAATAGACAATCGAGTGAGCAGTGGTAGAGGCTAAGGAAAGGTGGCGATAAATTTGCTCGGAGGGCTGGTGTTGAAGGCCGAAACCCACGGTGAGAAGATAAAAATATGTTTTGATGAAGCGATTTACGCGATTTCCGAAATCATCAACTACGACATACCCCGCGCACTCGTCTAATCGAGTTCGACATTTGTTCACCGAGACCGGATGCGACGTATCTATAAAAGCACACGAGGGAAATCCCGCGCCGCGAGACCGGCTAACCTATCCTAAAACGACCGCCGTTTTAGCAGCGCAATCGAATCCGAAACGTTTTGTGTTTTTACTTTCTTCGCGTTCGTAAAAAAAAAAAAAAAAAAAACCTGTTTGGATAAAACAACAACGAAAAATAAAAACAACAACCAATACATCATAACGATTATAAAACAATAAATTCGCTGTCGGCGCGCGTCATAATATACACGCACGGAGCGCACGTCGTATGGGAGCAACTACGAGAAATTCGAAAAAATTATGTTTCAATACCCCGTGCGACTTTCAGCGGCGCGGGATAATCACCACGTATTGACAGACGCGTGTTATAAAAAGCAAACGGTCAACAACAACGTGCGTGAACGTACACGGTACGCGAGTCGGTAACATAATATATTAGTTTTGCGGGCCGGTCGCGGGACGCAGGACTGTTATTATTGTTTGAAGAGAATAAAAAACAATTTATTACAAATTTATTACGAAACGGCGATAACGCGCGCGATTTTCCGCGGGTAAATAAATCCAAACCGTTCATTACCGCGGTGACAACGCGGGACGCTGCGGCGGACGTGTCGAAAACCGCCGCCGCCGCCGCCGTGCGCGGAGAACAGAACGAAAACAAAAAAAAAAATTAATTTTTTGAAAAAAAAAAAAAACCGTACGGACGACGCGCAATAATTACACGTATCGCGTTCGCGCCCGTTCGCCGCGAGCTACGCCGCCGGCCGCGCGCGCCGCGGACCGTTCGGACGTTCGCGTATCGAAACCGATGCGCGTGTACCCGCCGGCCACTTACTTGCCTGTCGCCTGCGCGCTCGTATTTTACGGCCGCGCGCGTGTTCCGCGCCGTGCCCGACCGATTACAATAATAATAATAAATAACGTTGTCGGGGCGCGCATCGCACTGTGCCGCGGGCGACGTTCGTCCCGACCGCCGGCGACAATATTCCGCCCGGCTCTGTGCCGGACCGGCCGCAAATTGAAACGTCCGTCGCCGAACGCCGAGCGTCTTTTGAAAAGACCGTGCATCGCGAATCCGAGAACGATAAAACGCGATCGCTTATAACCGCCCGTTATTTAAATGCCTTCGAAATACTAGGCAGAGAAAAAAAAAAAACTACTTTTTACCGAAACGATACCGTTAGAAAATGCTAAAAACAATGCTCAAACAACGGGAAGCGGCGAAAAATTCGAAACGAAAGTTTCGAAACCCTTAGTAATAGATAGATAATCTGTATACTTATGAGGAATACCTAACGCGTCCAACCATTTGTTTTTCGGTCTTCGTTTTCCTCTCTTTCCCCCTACGTTTGTTTTCATTGCCATTCTTACTGCTTTTGATTCTACTCTCCCCGTGACATGCCCAAACTCGTCTATTTTCACTTATTTCTCTATTGTCTAGGCTACTTCATATGCACTCGTATTGTCTTCTCTTATCACTTCACTGATCCATGATCCACTTATAAGCATTTTCATCTCCGATACTCCCTATCCTCTGTTCTATTTTTCCGTCTACCGTCCAACACTCCAAACCATATATCATAGTCGGTCGTGCCACACTGTTGTAGGACTTTAAGCTCTTGTAGGCTTTCAAACCTCATTCGAGTTTTCTTATCGTACAAAAGTAAAACTCTTCTCACTAACGTCGCTTTTCTCCATCTCGTCCGACTACGTATTTTAATTCAATGTTACACATCCTTTTTTTTTTTCAATTATTATTATCGCATACATCCAAGACGGAGCAATTCGCTCAGACTTTGTATAGGATTTCCTAAACTATTTTACACAGTTTTTACACCGACTTTCAGACCAGACACAATCCTTTTTGTCGCCTCTTACAACAGGTAGAAGTATCATTGATTTTATAGTATAATTTTTTTGTAAAGATAAGATGAGATGTAAATCCTGCGAGTCTGTAAGTGCGCCTATCCTACACACGAATCGACAGTTTTATCCCGATGAAATATCGCACACGCTTGACGTTCGAGACGAGAGGAAGGCCGTTTTGTACTTTTCACCCCGAAGCTCAACCCTCTCAATGAGTTTTCGGCGTTTTCGGAACGAAAAATGAATGTTTTTGTTCGTCGATTTACGGGTCGACCCGGCAACAAAAAACGGGCATGAACAGTTGATTCGGCTGTCGCGAGCGAGGGAGTACCCTTCTCAAAGCATAAACGACCGGGCATAACGGCGAACGGCCGTAATGATGTTACGCGGGAACAAAGGCGGGCGCAGCCGTTAAATCGAATTTCCCCCTGCGGATTTCAGTCGTCGAAAGGACCGGGCCCGGGAGGTGCCGGAGGGGGGGGAGGTAATTATTTAGCCATGCGACGTATCGCAACAACGCCGTACGAGCACGTCCGCATTATGTAAATTGGTGAAACGTCGTGCGGCGCTTTTAAATCGCGCTTTTGCGGCGCCCGCGCGTAATGTTTTCGCGATTACGCGTTTACGATAAACGCCGTCGTTAGCCGTCGTCGCGGCACGGTTTCGAGACGCGGTTTCGGGACGACGGGCGGGGCGGACGGCGGAACGAATAAAAACGGCGGGAACCGGAACGGAAACACTGCGGACTTTTAACGCGCGCGCCGGCTGCGCGGGTACAACTTCCACGCCGCGCGCTCGCGGCCGCCGCCCCGACGTCGGAAACCGTTCTGCGGGTGATGTTCCGCGTTGCGTAAACCGCCGCCGTCCGCGCAATGTCATTAAATATTAACCGGCGCGCTTTTATACGCGTATCGCGCGCGTTACGTGCGCGCGCGATCGTAACGCGCCGGTTTCCTTTTTTTTTTTTTTTCCGCGTTATTTTTTTCGGTTTTTTTTTTCCCCGCACTAACGCCCGGGGCAATGCAAACGGCCAAATCGTTATGTCGCGCGCGCCGGACACCGCGCGTATTATGAACACATGTTATTATAATTTAATATCGACCGGACGTAGCGGTGTCCGACGCGAGTCGTTCGTAACAATCTCACGCTCGTACGTTATAACCGATGCGTGAGTGTGTGTGTGTGAAACATACATGCGACTTTTACCCGTCATTTCCGGCTCGGTGACGGGCGAGTAAAAACGAAAAAAAAAAAAAACAAAAATAGCCGATAGCCGATAGATAAGTTCGTAATATACCGGACGACAGGCGTATTATACCTACCGACGATCGGTCGCGAGAGACACGTTTTTTCGAAAAAAAAAAAAAAAAAAAAAAAAAAAAAATAATCCGATAATACTGCCGACGGGCGTGCCACTGTAGTCGGCGGGACGTTGCGACCGGTCTGTCGGCGTACCCTGTCGACTTTGCGTTTTTCACAGCGGTTGAGAACCCGAGATGGCGCGTTTTGCGAACCCCTGTCTTCGGCGCCTCTCGGGGGTGCGCATTACGTCGGCGTTTCGGTATTCGTTGCATTCCCCTTCGACCCGATCAAATGGGAACCGAAATCTGTTCTACGCGACACACGGTCACGGTGCCCGATAGATACCGTTCTTCGCGTGCTTTGGTCAGGTCATAGTAATGTTACAATTTCAGTAACGTCCAGGGCCCGTTCCTTCGTGAAAACGCGGCGACAATATGAATAACGCGAAACTGTTTTGAGTTTATACGCGAAATTTCAAGTCTCTACGAATATTTTCAACTGAATTACAACAAGAAAACAAAATAATGTAAATAATGTAACCTTTATTTCCGAAAAGCCTTCACGTTTTTTCTCGGTTTTGCTCAATTATTAAGAAAAATGATTCACTTATCAACAAATGAGTGAACAACTTAGAAACTGTATCAAAAGACCAATAAAAAAAGGTCTTGTTATTTTTCGATTGAAGCGAGATTTCTGGTAGAAAACATAATTCGTAAAAATTTAAAATTATTAAATCATACGCCTTAAATTTGTCAGTTTTCATTTTACGTTTTTTTCCCCCCCCCCTGTTATTCTCAATTATCATGAAAATGCACGAAAAATCGAAAAATTACTTATTTACTAAACGGCTGAAGCCGAAATTGAACAAAATAACCGTTTCTTGGTATTTTTCGATTAAACCGAGATATCTGGTAGAAAACGTAAAAACGTGAAAATCAATACAAATGAAATCCGGTTGTCTATTTTTCCTATAATATTCCGTCGGGATGACGGAATTTCCATTTGATCCGGAAACAAATGCGCAGAAATATGCGAAAGCGGGCCGACTCACGCTAATAAAACGAAGGTGACCGACACACGCGTGCATTCGCCACCGATAAAAACAGACGAAATGTGCGAATAATCCGGGTTTATATTATTATTAATAAATTGGCCAATCGGATTATTAGTTAATATTATTGGGTATCTATATGCGTACTTTGTAATTGATTGGCGTAACCGTATTATCTATATCCAGCTTCGTAGAAAAACGAGATTACATTGCGACGCACGAACAAGTTGCGAATTGAATTTATCGAGTTCACACAATCGCGAAAAAAAAAAATAATAAAATAAACGGTAGGTATCTAAAGAGGAGGATTTGCCATTGTATTGTGTCTGTACACTTTAGGCTGTATGTTATTATAACATTGCATACCAACGACAAACCGGCGATTACGAAAATATTCGTAACGTCGAGTGTTAATTTATAGAAAACAAAAAAAAAAAAAAAACAACAGAAGCAATAAGTCCTCTTGGTCCCTAAAAATAACAACCTCGCGTACTCGAAAACATTCGACGTTGACGCGCAATAAGAGAAAAAAAAAAAAATATTTTAATCTGCGAGTAAACAACATCATTATAATCATATTATTACCCAATATTTGAATTCGTTACGAAGTGTTATTTTTATTCGATTATTTTGGAATGAACAAACGGACAGCTTATCGAAACTATTAAAAGCTATACGGACGCGGCTGTTATTTTTTAAGAGTGGAAAAATACACGTTTAAACAAGTCTGCCACTCCGCTATGCGGTATAGACAAAAACATTTTTGTGCCAAACCAATCGGACCGTTCAAAATAGAATTTAAAACGAAAACATCGATTGTTAAAATACCGCGCTGTTGAATTATTTTTACTGAAACGAGAACATAATAATGTGTTGTTTTTTCGGCGAGGAATCTGTCTAGTTTATTTTTTTTTTTTTTGATTTTTTTAGCTCGGAAAACATGTATACTACACGTGCCAAGAATTCAATCAATCGCAATCCAAGAATCACTTCCCGGTCATAATTGTAAATATGGATACAAATCTTTGGTCCTAGGGAAAAAGTGCTTACGATTTTCGGCGTTTATTTCCTTTATAACTGCTTTATGTAATTTTTTTCCCTTCGTTTTTTCGGTCTCAATGACAAAAGTGGTTTTTTTTTTTTTTTTGTTGTAGTCCAACCCAATATGTTTACACTGAAAATTGAAATACCTATTAAGTCACTACGATGCACTTTTTGTTTGGAAACAAAAGCATAATGAGTTATGCTTGTAATTACATAATATACAGGACTTAAGTAACTATTAGAATGCCACTTAGGTTAAGCCCCATTTAGCAATTTTGTCGGTACGCTACTCTTAGTACTTACCAATTTACAAAATTAGATTTCCCCGCGAGACCAAAGAAACAATTACACAAACGTGCGTGTGACTCTATAACTTTTAAAATCGTATTATTTCTCCGCGAGTCGCTCGAAACTATAGTCGTAGCACACCACGGGCCCCATAGACGGAACATAAAAGGGCCACGAAAATCGATCGTGGGACAAAAGTCGGTTTAATTGGTCGATCGTATTTCTAAAAAAATAACAACGGTTTCCCAGAGACATAACGATGTAATATTTATTTTCTATAATCGGTGTATAAATTTAATCGCTCATACGATATTATAATCGATTAATAATATATTATTGCATTTTACTGTTCAACCACAGTTGGAAATAATCAATGAAAGTTGAAACAATACTACGTCTGTTTAATCTCTACACAAAAAACCGCCGGTAATAAAATCAATTTATTTCATAAATCGTGGTTCTTGAGCGGCCTCCGGATACAAACACTACCGAGGGTCCAGGCCCGGGCCGCGCCAGCGCTGACCATACTTTTGTTTTTCGATTGATTCATCAGTTACATAGCGACGTATTGAGGTTGTGTGTACGCCAACTACTACTATTAAGTAAATTGAACCGCGGAGCAAATTTCAAATCAACGTTGATTTGTAATATTATAAACACCGTTTGAATAATGCAATTGTTTTGGATAATATTTAAATTGAATTACACTTTAAAATATTACGAAGAAAATTAAGTTACTTGTAACTAGTGACTGTACTATAACATAATTTTTTTTTCCTCCGAGTAACTTTCGTCCATCTTAATTTAGAATTACCGAAAAAAAGGAATTTCAGGTGTCAAAATTAAACAATACGCCAGACTCTTCTGTAGGTACATTAATAACAATAATAATCCGTATCGAATCAACAACGGCAAAACAAGTTTCACGTGGAGGCACGACGAATCGAGTGTTAAATCGCGTGATTTACGAAAAAAAAAAAAAAACCCTGAAGTAAACGTTTATAAACGTTTCCCGATCGCGTCCCCCTTGAAACCGTCACGGTGATAATTAACGTTAGTGCAAATTACTTTTGCACTACCCAAATAAATATCATAGCGATTACGCAACTGCGGTTAGAGATCGGTTGCCCGAGGGTTGACTGTGTGATCATTTTTTTTTTTCATTTTCGCCGGCTGCTCGCAAGACTCCGGCGCGACTTTCCGCCACCGCCGGCTTTTCGATTATGTGCAGGCGTTTGGTACGGTACACCCGGGAATGTCTAAAGGCCTTTACACGTGCACGTTACATTAGTATATCCAATACCGTGTCGCGTAGACAAGTTAACGGCGCTGCTCGCATTTTGCGCGTACACTCGTAACAAAACGGGCTAAACGCATTTAGAACGAATTATAATTTACAATGCAGGCACGAGAACGCGACATCAGTCGCGAGAGAACAATACGATTCCGTTCCGTTCTACCGGCCGAATCTAAAAAGTTGCACGCCGGATACCAACGAAAACGTGTTTCCAGTTTTTGGCCGATAATTCAGCGAGATAATTTATACCGATGCGTATACATATACATTTTACATACGTACTGTGTAAACGTATAACCGCACGAAACTGACCTTGTAAAGTTGTAACACCTAATAAATAATATTAATATTCGTATGTTCGAATTTTAACAACGATAAAACGATCGTAAACGTACACAACTACGTTAATTCTATAATTACAATCGATAAATAACGTACCGACCGCAGTCCTAATAATAACGAGATAATCTATAACACAAACCGTTTAACAAATAATAATTTATTGTGTATCGCCTCGAATTAAAATTGCACATGAATTTATTCATTGATACACAGTGTGTTTTAATGGCGTGAGCGGTGTACGAGGTTAGGGGTTATACTTCCCCACCATTAGCCGAGAAATACGCCAACCACGCGTGTTTGTTTAGTAGTTTAACCTTAAAACTGAATACATCGCGCCGAAACGTAGCAAACGATCCCGCTTACAGACTATGTACCGAGTTATTGAAGACGGGTCGTTTCACGTTTCACGAGTTACAGAGTCGATTTTAAAATATTACAACCAAGACCCCCAAGAGAGAGGGAGGGTGTAAAGGGTGCGGATTAAAAACCGAAATGAAATGTTCCCGGGATGGTCGAAATGCTAACCGACGGGAATGGTTTGTAGCGGGCATTAATTCCAGGAACCGTTTCGGGTTCGATTGTTATTTATTAATCTATGACACAGCTACGATCGCCTCCCATTGAACACTTCCGGCCATGCCACTGGTGTGTTTCGCACGAATGGCGACGCGAAATATTTCAACTGGACACACTTAAAATTTGAAATGAGATTTTTTTTTCCTGAAAAACCGGCGGATACTGAAGCGTACATTTTGAGCTAATCGCAAAAATGTTAACTCTGCATGTGCGACAGTCGCGGATAAATATTGAAAACGATGTTATCTTTTATCGTATACGGTAGTATAAATTTCGGTATACGAATCGAACGAAATTAACATACTTTAATTGATAACATACTCAGCGCATTCGGGTGCTTTCAATAACGTATAGTAATGTTAATATTTTTTTTTATGGGCGACGGATTATGGTTCATTATAAGACACGAATATGGGTTTTTTTATTTTTTTTTTACCGAGGGCCGAAACTTATAGAAAATCTCGCGTACAATACACATGCCGTCAGAACCGCACGCGCTATTGTTGTAAAAACTTATCACCGCTGCTACACAGGTTTATTACGCGAAATCGAAAGCAAATTTGTATAAATAAACACTTTGTGTGTTATGTGACGTGATTTTGCAATAATATTTTACTAGCCGTAAACACCGGCAATCTCATGGCGGTTTCGTTTATATTAATAATATAAACATATCGTCGGCGAAACATAGGAATCGTGACCGTCGCTGTTTAATACAATATTATCATTATATGATTCCGGCGCGTGAATGTTTATTTTTTACGATAAAACGGCATGTAGAACATTATGTTATTATTACTGTATTATGTTTTTTCGGCTTAAAAAAAAAAATTACGAAATGTTTTCGGTTTATTTTATGATTTTTATCGTTGCGGGTGTACGTTTAATAGATAGACGTAGTTGACGCGCGTATATAAATTAAAATACGAACACAAACAGGAATGGCCAGCGAGACTCACGACTCGAGAGTCACACTGTAAAATGAGTAAAAGAAAAGAAAAGAGATTTTCGATCGGATTAATTTTTTGAAGTAAAATGTTATTAGGCCACTGCCGTAGGTGCAGGGTAGTTTGGCAACGTACAGATATTATATATTATTATGCACGAACAATTTAATTTATAATATTATTATAATGTACACACGCACCGATAAATTATTGCAAACGAAAAACGATTCTGGGTCAAGTAGTAATATGTAGTCGTGTTTTGTTCCCTTTATTTCCAATAAAGATAACTGACTAGAAATCATCAAAAATCAAACAAACCAAAAGAAAGAACCGAGGGTCAGGTTAAAAATGTAGATAAATGATTATTTCGAATAAAACACTATCAGAATTTTCGCACATTTTAAAATTAATACTGCATGAAACTAGGAACATTTATGTTAACCGTAAACGCGTCTTCATAAAAAGCGATTTTTTTTTTCTGGAAAAACCGTTAGAAATTTCGAGATATTTTTCAAATGGAGTACTATAAAACAATAAATCCGCATCTTTTGGGGTACGGCGTGAAAAAACCAACGCATGTTTGCTAACCGTAAAGGTGATTTCCGAGAAAAAAAAAATACATCTTTGAAAAACTATTATGTAGCTTCTTTGTTACACTCCCAGGATTGGGAAATGGGTTGTTTTTTTTCTAACTTCGAGTTTTCGTGATGGTCGCCCGAGGATATTTTTAGACCGTGAGCGCGTTGCAAACGCTACAATGATATTATCAATATATTAGTTTTGAAATATCGCCACACCTACGCGACATTATAATCGTAATCCGTATAATAACATATTATAGGTGTAAATACTCGAGATTCAAAAAAAAAATATATATATATAAAAAAAATAATAGTTTGACGTAAAAATCTCGTGTTGAACGACTGGCTTTTAAAGAACTTTAAACCGCACACGTAGACGGGCGCGAGCGGATTTTATTTTCAATAATACTACACGTAAACAGCGGCTGATTGTGATAGTATAATAGGCACACAAAATATTTTACAGATGAACAATTCATCAATGACGAAAAATCTAACAATCGAACGTGTAGGTACATGTAAAATATGCGTATTGTATAGAAGATTTCGGGATAAAAAAAAAAACGGTGGGCCACAACAATAAACCAATACGGATAACATAAATTATACGTTCGATCTTGTGAAAGAAACAAAAAACTGGCCTAATTTCATTATCGACGTATCGTTATAGTATTGAAAATCATAACAATTTTATAAACACGACCGTGTGCACCATGAAGAAAAACCGCGTAACCCATTATTATCGTATGGAATATTTTTACCACGTGTGTTTTTTTAAAATTAATCAACAAATTAAAAAAAAAAAAAAATAAACGCATCGTTAAATTGCGTACGAATTGAAAAATAATGTTATTATAATATTTGAAACGAGTCCGCGCTCTTATATATCGTTTATTTATCAATTTTACTAATATACTGGTTTTTTTGTTTTTTGTTTTTGTTTTTTTTTTTTTTTTTTTTTTTTTTTAATCTCCTATATATTATACTCGATTTATTATTATTATTATTATTCTTTAATCGTTCGTAATTTTAAATTAATATTAAATTGCTGTGGTGCGCGCATAATAATATATATTTATATATTAATATGAAATCGCTACCATATACGAGTGTTTTTAATTTAAACGGGTGTGAAAGCGTATAGACTGCAGGTATTATTTATGTACGGGAAATCGGGCAGACCGTTAATTTATTTTCGATGCATTATTCACGAGAAGCTCGAGAAAAATTTACGGGCACTTTTAGAGAGTAAAAAAAAAAAAAAATAAACACTTTGGAAACCGTTTACTAACTTATAGTATGGTTATTATATTTTGCGCCCCTAGCAGTAACGGCTAAACATAAAGATATTAATAGATATTAAAAGATATTAATATTGAACGGTTACTAAACTATTGCTACCGTGGCATTAAACGCATGTATACACGTATGCTGTATGCTAGGGCATGGGGTGTGACATTATACGGGTGTGGAACCTGGACAGCGAGCACAACCGAAAAGAGAAAGCTAGGAGCTTTTAATAAACGTAGTGTCGGGTGATTTCGCGGCGTAACCGAGTAGCAAACGAATACATTTTCAGACCAGCCAAGGAAAAAAAACATCCCGTGACCATTTAAAACAAATTCGAGTGATTTCATATGCAGGTCACATACTATAATATGTGTTATGGTAGAAGTTGATTATCGGGGGTTATAAAGGAAGATCAAAGATGGCAATCCCTAAAGACGTAGTAGTGAAAAGTTAAGTTAAGTTAAGTCGAGAGTTGAATGAGTTAGTTAGTTAGTTAGTTAGATGAGTTTTGACAGAGGAGTACGGAGAGCTATCAAAAGATTGATGGCCAGAAGAGAAGAAGATATTAGGTATTCTATGTACTTACCGCCGAGCGGATATTGATGTGATATCGCAAAAGTACAGTTGCGGTCGGATCCCGAAGCCGGAATTGCTGTTTGCAATTTAGTCTCTTCGGTTAAGTAATGTTTACTGAACGCTTTGATGAATTTTGATTTTTCCGAACTACACACGGCTACACTGTCAACGAACAAATTGACCTGCAAATAACGTTAATCATATTAATACGGGACTCCGTTCAAAACGAATGAAGGTATTATATACTCTAGATTTGGTCTTCAAAACGGCCGAAGAAGATTTGTGATTGGGGCTAAAGTCGACTGCTACGACGTCGAAACTATAGAATCCTTCGATAATGTTCCCGATGACTTCCAAATCGCCGTCTCTGCTGATCCTCAAGTTCGACAATAGTTGGTCTGAAAAATTAACGAATGTATAATAATTGTGGAAATTACACCGCAGAGAAAATAATAATAATAATAATACCGGGCAAGTATTCCAAAGAGTAATTTCCCTTAAAAGTGTATAGTTCGTTCAATAGATCCGAGTTGTCGTATTTTTCATTCAACCCAGTCGCCGTTACGGTTTTCGCAATAACATTAAATCTGTACACCTTGCCCTTTCGGCCGTATGAAAGTTTTATGGAATAATTCGATTCTTCGAATTCTAGCACATGATCTACGAGCCAATTGAAAATTAATAAAATTTGTATTACTGTTTTAAAATCTCAACAGAAGTATTATATTGTTTATAATATTTACCTAGAACGGGAAGATCGTGAAAAATTGTTACGATTACAATAGTTTCGCCTCCGATTACATTCGAATCCACATCGTTTATTGTCTGCAAATAACAAATATAGTTAATATAATAATTTTGAAAAATCACAATATTCCAGTAAGTATATTTGTTCGTAATTTCGACATTTTTTTACAATCATATTATAAACACGTTTTTTTTTAAGGTCTATAGCTAGTCAATACACAAACATATCTAGAGGATATTATTGTTTTACACAGACATTTTTTTCTTGGACAATATTTTATCCAACTGAGATTTTCGAGCTCCGCTCAAATATTTTTATCCGAATTTTCGAACCAAACACTCCAATGGAGCTGATTCGAATGGACCTTTCGATGACAGTTGTAAATTCAAACTTTATAAATGATTTTTTTTTTTTTCACTTTTCTGCGTATTTGTTAGAATAATTACCAGAATGATTAAAACTATCCGCCAAGCTGAATTCAAAAGATCAATCATGCCTTGGCCTTTCTACAATGACCTACCTTAAGTTTGTAGACAATAGTCGAGTTAGCGCCACCGGTCTGTAACAAATCCGTCAAATCGTCGTCGACGTTGATGTACACGTGATTCTCGAATTTTCGAGTCGAAAATTTCGCAAACACACTCGCGTTGACGTTTTTACAAAAACGAGTGATCGGTTCCAATACCAAACTGTACCCGTTGGGCGTTTTGTAAGCAATCGGCGGGTTTAATTGTGTATTTTTAACCAGCTAAAAATAGCAATACGTTTAGTTTTTTTTTTTTACAATTCCCATTTATATTTTGTAAGTTTATATTCGTTTTTATTTATATCAACTGATTTGCATAATATTATTACCTACCTTGATCGGTATTGTTTTATACGAATAGTACGGCTCATCGAACGGATATTCGTCCGGTCCCGCGTCATCGTTGCTACGACCCGCAGTCGATTTGATTTCACGCTAAATAAAAACACGATAATATTAAACTTTATAAATATTATACAGAGTGATCAACATTTTGTAGACACTCATTATCTCAGAGTATTACATTTTTCTGGAAACTTGCTTTTTATATCATTTAAGAAACAAGCTGCACTAAAATGTTACATTCCTGTTATTTTTATAATCCTATTTTAGTGGGGGGGGGGTGAAACCACTACCCACTTTTAAAGATCAAATAGTAAGCTAATTTCATAAATAGGTAAAATTTTAGTTTAAATACATTTTTTATCTTACAATTTCATTCCAAAATATATCTTTCCGAAGACTTTACTTCGCCATATATATCTAATTTGACTCTTCATAATGACCTTTATATGCGAACACTAGAGGAGAAAACACGTACATTCGACGCACTCTTCCATATTCGACTTCAAGCTCGTCCTAGTCCTCTCATAAATGATATTTCCATGCTTACATTCCCAAGGAATCCTAATCGCAGGTTAAAAAGAAAGTGGTGTCGAGTTGTCTTGTAAAATAACATCTAATGTTTTCTTATTAAATAAAACAAATAAAAATATAACTAACCAGCTTAGAGTCACTATAATATGGAGCTGCTTTATTAAAAAATGTATGTTATAGTATATTCATCATATAAACCTATTATGCTAATTTGTATAGATTGTTTTTATTTCTTTATTAAAGTATACCTTGGAAAACTTGATTTGGTTAGTGAAAATCCTCATGGTAAATCTTAAACGATGCGGATTTTTCGATTGACAATACTCTAATTGAAACATTTTACAATATTTTCAACAGTTTACTACTTAGATCATTTTACTAATTTTTTTTTTTTAATTAATAAGAGAGCTTCAAATTATTCTTACCGTGCTATAAAAGTCGCAATTATTTTGCCCGGTGTAATACTTTATTTGAAATTATAAAAATGTCTAAAACAAATCGACAACAGTTTTTCTATGCAATTTGAAATACCTAACAACAAAATACCGATTCATCTGTTTTATTTTCGTTGATTTCTAGGGGTTATGGGGCATAAAACACTACTAAAACTCCGTTCAGAATTATTTTGTCGTTTTCAATGATATTTTATGCATTTATACATACACTAAATTACACTGTATATTCCACTTTCCAGACTACCCACCTACAACAATCTACTCATGAGAAGTATCAACATTTTTCATATTAGTCATTTCTATTTTCTGTACCTAATTATAGTCTATTGATATCTGCGCAAACGTGACGAAATATTTGTTTACGTGATTATTCTTTAAATTCGTTTAATATATACAATGTACACTGTACATATATATATAAGTATATTATATGTGTGTTTGAGATTATGATAATGTTAAAAATTACATGTTCTACGGATTATAAAAAAAAAAAAAAAACCTTTTTGGGACAATGTAAATACCGATTCGGTGACATTTAAATAGTACAGGTATAACTATATAGGATAACACAGTGTCCCCAGATTCTATTCTAATTAAGTTTTATTTGTTAATAATTTTATTGAATTAAGTTGTAATGCTTATTAAAAAATACCATACGATAAAAAAAAAGAAAAAGAAAAAAAAGTGTCCCAAGATGATTCTGGAAATGCATATGATACAATCATAACAAAAATAGATACGAATTTAAGGTCTTTACCGCGGTAACCTAATATTTTTCAGATTAAGTACCTATATATCAGGTATGTATTGTGTCTAGCACAATACTATTGTATTTCCACGATACACGGAATTGAAACTAGTAGTATTTTTTTTTTTTTAATATTATGTAGGTATATTATTGTTCTTGGTAAAACGATAGTTGTTCTTCAAGTGATCGCCTATACCGATTATCAATTGATGTACAGAATTTCAACGCGAATCTTCAAAAATTAATATCATATTATATTGCACAAATATACTCTATTTAAATTATATTAAAATATCGTAGCGTTATCTCTTACCAATATTTGGTTAAAACATTTGAGTTAAACATTCTACATCATATATCGCAATGGCATTTATAAATCGGTTTCAAAGATAAAACACTTATTACACAAATTAAACGTGGAATATCTCGTCAACGGGTGGATGGAAATCAAAAATTAAATTCCAACAGTAAAATGTATCTAAACTAATATTTCGTCTATTTATGGAATTTTAGATTCGGAGCGGTAGCGAGATACGTATTGGTTATACAATGATGTATGTATATATTCTTTTTTTTTTATCAGTGAACAACTTGTCTATCAGAAATCTTACTTTATTAGACTTATTAATAGTAATACCATAATTACTGCAGTTTCTGCACACATCAGTAAATCAGTATATAATATGTACAAGGTGATCCATATAAGAGGGTACACTCGTTATCTCGGAGAGTATTATTAGCTTTTATCAGAATTTTTTTCGTAGAACATTTAAGAAACAAGTAGCTCTACAAATTTACATTTATGTTATTTTTTGTCCCCCTTATTTTTGGGGATAAAACCACTACCTATATTTGATTTTCCAACTGCGATTTATATTGAAAATCCCATAAATAGACAGAGTATTAGTTAAAATTAATTTTGGTGTTGCCATTTTTTATTTCCGTCAACTTTATTCCACACTATATTCCACTTTTAAGCTTGGGTCGAGAGTGAGTAGTGAGGCATTAAAAACATTAAAAACGGTTATTAGAAACTATTGACCGGATATGAAGATATGATGATACAGTAAAGTTTTTAGAATTATATATTTTATACATTGGCTATTTTGAAAACTTTAAAAAGTGAAAAAATAAAGTTATTTTTTTTCAGTGATTGAGGGATGAAATTAAAATATAATTTTTCTCTACATCTGTGTCCTCGCTGACACAAAACCCAATTGAAAAAAAAAAAAAAATGAATATTGACCTATTAGCATTCGGATAAGACCGTGAGGCACGTTGTATAAATGTATAATGTGCATATAGTATTATAAGTTTAAAAGGTATGTACAATGTACATAAAACTCCATTTTTACTTAACGATGCACAATAATATATTTTAATATTATTAATATGCACTTCAGACAAACTGTTGTGAAAAATGCATGTACGGCTCACATAGAATAAAATAAATACCTATACATTATAAAATGTAACAACAAGTAGTTGGGTATAAACAAAATACTCATAAAGCACAATATTTATAGGTATAGCATTATACATTATACACATTGGCTTGAGTATCCGTCATGAGTACAACTCGTACTATATTGTAATATTATATAATATTATTAAATTCATAGAAAACAATTGCTCCCCTGACTAGGAGATTTTTTTTTTTTTTTTTAATGTTCAAATCGAAATATCATTCGGTCAGTAATATTAATAACAACAGTTATTTTATACGAGCGCGTCATTATCGATACTAAGTTTATAGTGAAAAACAAACATATAGTAATCGGATGTGAGAGGAATGAGGAAATAAAAACCCAACAAAACAGCTATACCACTGGTAGGTAAACGTTAACGCTATTGAAATGAAATCGAGTATTAACTACTTTTAACTACTGACGAGTATTGAATTTTTCTCACTAATATTCGTTGATTATTATTATTTTTAGATTCGGATCGTTGTAGCGAGGGACCTATCGGTTTTACTATGATGTGTGCTCTATGTTTTCTACCAGAAATAATGCTCCAATCGAGAAACGACAAAATATTGATTTTGAACCATTTGATATTCAACCACTGTAACAGAGAGTCATTTTTTTTTTATATCCAATGTAGTTTTCATAATAATTGGAAAAAACCAAAAAACACGATTTTTTCAAATCATGGCGCTACGATTTCGTTATTTAAAATGTTTAAGATTATATTTTTCTACTAGAAATCTTTGTCCAAATTTCAAGAATAGCATATTTTCTGAAAAAAATTTTGTCTAGTTTGTCAGCAAGAAAATCGTTATTTTATTTTCCGTATAGTTTTTCTAATAATTACGAAAAACCGAAAAAAAAAAAACCGCAGAAAAGATGGCAAACTCTACGGCATTTGTGGTTTTTTTGTTGTTATTTGTTTGAAAATTATTATAGGGACCTGTAGTTTCTAAAAAAAATACTTTATTGGCCTTTTGTAGGCGGAGTAAAACATTCTAACTATTTTTAGGCTATTTACCTACATTACAGGTATTTTTGTATGTTTTTATATGCACTTTTATTTGGTAGGTAACTGTTATTGAAATTATATGAATTATGAGAAATCCTTGAACATTTTAAAAAAGGTGCATTATTAATTATGTACTTAGTGGTATAAAAACAAATTTGAGTTTAATGCATTAGTTTTTTTTTTTCTTAAGCATTTCAAGTTCAAATTTTGACGAAAATCGTAAAAATTATGGCATTTTATATATCTGAAAATAGTCTAACCAGACTTCGCTCCAAATCGTTTTTCGTTAACAATGCATACAGATGTCTTTGCATACAGATATAAATTAAATAACTTTATGTATCCTGCCTTCCCAATTTCCCACCTCGGAATGGGCTGCACTCGTCCCCAGTATCAGTACTCTTTCTTTTTTCTTTTTTGTTTTGTTAACTAGGTATTTAGTTATGATTTCATATGACTGGCATGCGTAATATACATATTTATTAACAGTAAAAAAAGAATAAAAACAAATATCGACTCATCGGTGACAGACATCTAAAACTTAAATTTTGTTTACGTCATTCTCGTATAATCTAATCGGCAATCATCATTACACAGTTCTGCCTTTAAAAACAATTAGGTAGGCGGTACCTATCGTTTAGGTAGTTATTTTTACGATGCTTTTTAATTAAATCCATTCGATTTTACGATACCTACATGTATTTGTTCGCAAAAAAATGGAATACCTGCATTATTAATGGATACTAATTAATAATACTTGGAAATAATTCTCTAATCAGAAAAAAAACAAATAATGACATTTAAAGTATTAAAAAATGATTAAATATTCATCTTCTACGAGCACTTGTATGTTTATTATATTGTTTAAACTATAGGTAGGCACATAGAAATAAATACTCGAGTCAAGAATAATATTATTAAATTCATCGTAATATTATTTTGTAATCTAATTGCAAATATAAAAAAAATGTATAATATAATATTAGCTAATTAAAGATAAATCATTGCAATCAATAAACGATTCTGAGCAAGTTCGGTAACCTGATATACTTCTGCAGATATTAGTGATGAGATTTCCTCGTAGTTAAGGTAACATAAAACCAATATCCGATCTGATATTTGAAATCAAAAACTATGAATTGACGTTGAAAAATAACGATAAATCGGTTGAAAACCCAATTTTTTTAAACTTTTAATATTACAGAGACATATTTTCGTCTTGCTTTTTGTCCAAAAACATGGTTTACAGGATTAACTCTACTGCCTCGGAGAGGCATGCGATTTATTTATTGAAAAGATGGCAACTTTTTCTAGGTCACATTCGATTAGGATTTCGAAAATTATATTTCTAAACTGTATAATTATTTGAATTAGAATATGACAAACAAAACTTCTTGTTGTTTTTGGTTATATTATGCAAAATCGAAGTACAGGCCGCCTGTAGGAAGTTATTCTCATTGAACAAATGTGACCTTATCATTTTTAGACGTTGGTACAATAAAAATATTATGTTGAATACAGCTGCAGCAGCCGTTGGGTATAATACGTTTATTAGTTATCACTATTATCATGTGTACCTATGTATTTTATGATTTTTATTATTGTTATTTTTTATTTAAATAACAGTTTACCTACATACTACCTAAATACCTGCAGCTCCCATGTTGAACGTTTTACGTTATCTCTGTTATAACTAAATATTTAATGCATTTTAATCCAGTGTTTAGCTGCAGCTGCAGTGTATATGTTATAGCTACCTATAGCTATAACTATAAGACGTATTAATAATATACACGGGTAAATTATTAACCGTATTGGAATTCGCTTTTGAGTTAGGCATTCAGACGATATTACTTGACATTATCTCCGTTATTAATATGTTATTATAATCACTTAAGTATACATACGTATATATATATAAATATTCGTTTTCCATGCGATGCTTATATTATTTATTAAAAAAAAAGTGCCATGTTACGAGTCTAGGTAATAACGGTCATGCTAAAATAGCCATATATAAAAATGGACAGAGGAATAAACGACCTGAGGAAAATAAAGCTATATGACTCGAGGAAAAAGATTAGATATGTTTTGTCCATGGAGAGTTTTTAATCTACAAGAGAAGTATTTAATTTAATCGAAATTGTATATTTAATTATGGTGCTTTGTACATAATTAATGATGGTAATGATAAATAATATTAATCGTAATAATGGTCAAATAAAAAATGGCTACGAAAAAAAAAATGTTTAAAATTTGTTCATCTTACAATTTTTGTATTTCACCATATTTTTCTCTGACCACTTTGATATATAGCCATTTTAACCGGTTTTTTTTCCACGGCCATTTTTGATTTAGTCTTTTTTACAAACTACTACCTATTACACTGTGGTGCACCAGCGTAAAGTCATTTTCCACTACTCAAATATTTTCGATTTACATTTTTCTTATTCAATTATGTATAATATGACGTATTCTACGATGGTAATTTTTAAATTGGATTTTTTAAATTTAAATTAAGTTTGTTTTGTTATATCAAAAGCTGAATTTACTTTTAACAATCTCGACGATAATATCCATTTCGGAGAAAAAAAATAGCTAATCATATTTCACTATCAGACCAATACAGTATAATATATACATGCTGCGTTTTATTAAAACCGAATTTACATGTTATTATTATTATTATTATTCAATTTGCATTGATCGTGATAAAATTAAAAATATATTATTAAAACACAGCCTCCGCGGATCGCGTCAAAGGAAAACTGTTTAAATGAAAATAGATTTCATTTATTTATTTATTATTTTTTTTTTTTTTTTTTTTTTTTATAGTAACATTATTTTATTAAACTCTTCGATTGCGTCGGTTTTATGAATAGTAAGTTTTTTGTTAGCACCGGAATGTAAATGGAAAAAAAAATCAAATATTAGATACATATATATATATATAAATACGTATACACCTATAACAGTACCCTCGTCCGCTCATTTGTGGTTTCTCGCGTCGTCGTGCACAACCACGACCGTTGTTGTCATCCTTATTTACACGCGCTGCAGATAATGTGTGGATACATCAAAACATGTTAATGCGCGTGTACGCATATTTAACATTCTTTAGGTGTTATTATATTAAATAGTGTGGCCACGTCCGCGGTACACTCACACGCGCAACGATGGTACCAATTATTTGCAGTTCGCGTGTGACGACTTTCCAAAAATATCAACACAACGAACTACGTAGCCGGGAAATGATATTACTCTTGCGTTTTCCAAACGGTTATCATACAAAGGTTACGGCATTACATCATATTATTACGGGTTCTGGTACGCGACGCCGACGGTCGACATGTCCACCGGTCAAAACCACGGCGGTCGAATGGTCCTTGTCGGGATGTACGATATGTCGACGGTTTCGAAGGCATTTCGATTTGAACGTAATAATAACAACGGACAGTTACAAAATGAATGCAAGATGTTCATAACGCCGTGCCATTATCTATTGGTACGTGCGCCCCACGTATAAAACTCCGAAATAGTCATAAGACCGTTTAACTCCTACGTATCTGTACCCTAACCGGCCTAACCTAATCTGCGTCCTCAATCCGTCGACATTTTGTACTATCCGATTCGCTGACCGTAGGTATTTCATATGGTCGTCGACATTTTAACGTACGGATTTCATACTTGCCGGCATTTTCGGGTGTCGACATTTCGTACTTTCCGGCAATTCGACTGGTCGATATTTTAACCGTCGGCGTTTCGAACAACTCCCATTATTATTAAGTTACTTACGGTGTTCTCTTTCTGTTCGTTTCCGGGCGTGTTGTTTAACGCGAATGAATCTAAAACCAAAAATCAAATGGCGAATAATACAAAAAAAGAAAAAAATTTTATCACACACACGCACACAAAACCCACGAAAACAAAATAATAATAATAATTAATATTTGAGATAATATTGTGCAACGACTGACGACGACCATTGAACACGCGTGTTCTATAACTATTGCCTCAAAAAATTGAACGTTAATATAATAATATTGACCAAAAATAACGCAGTCAAATTCGTGTGGAGATAAAAAAAATTGTTTAGGTAGGTAGGTAGGTATGCCGGTATGAGCTTGTGTAAAAAAAATATATATAATATTATAATGCCAGCTGAGTACAGCTAGTATAGCTAATATAGTAATATTCTCTATTTATTATAATAATAGTAATAAGTTTAAAAAAAAAACAAAAAACAAAAAAAAATCGTATTTACCACTGGAAAAACAAATCAGGATCGTACAGAACAGATAAAACGATGAACGAGTTCCGACCATACTTATTGTGTTGTTGTTATTATTCTAATAATATTAGGCACAGTTGTGTTTAATACGATATTCGAACTGATCGTACAGAACGCTTATTGCTGACTGCAGTACGAAAAACGAAAAATGTTTGACGAAGATCAAAAAATTGTTTACTGTTCTTATCTATATGACTCTATGCATACGCACACACACACACGCACACACACATACACACATGCGTAGTGTACAAACACACGCACACACGAAAAATACACCGGCTTGTGGTGGTGTAGTGTAGTGCACACACGGTATTCGGTATATTATTATTATTATTACTCTCGAGTGGCGCACTATGAAAAAAAAAAAAAATGTTAAAATTATTATAATATTATATAGTGCCGGTCACAGATAACGGCCGCCTTCTTATCGTGTGTGCTCGCAATTAAACTGTACGATCAATTAAAAAACAAAGGAAACAATACACACACGTATATATTTATATTATTATATGCATATTATACACGCATAAAATAAAATTGTATTCGAGTGCGGATAATAAAAAAACCATAAAAATCAATCGGTTTCCTACGCTGCGATATTGTTTGTATATGACGATAAAGGCAATTTTTTTTCTTGTTCTTGTCATCGAATGGGCACCCGAGGGGTCAGTTTCACCATGCTCGCCCATTGGCCGTCACACAGGTCCTCGAAGGTCATGTCTTCGACGGGCTTCCCTCCCAGATCCCTGGGACCTCTGCACGTCGGATTGGAGTCCCACACTTTCGGTCTGTTCGCTCGCAGCCATCTGTCAGATATCGTAAATAATAATACAAAAAACACCGATAGGATATTAAAAATAACGTTTTAAAAGTTTTATAATACTAAAATATTATAATATTAAAACAGGAGCGCTGTTGCAGTGTTCGAACATCGTGTTTCGGATGTATTGATCCGATACACCGCGAGTCGGAAACCACCACCTGACTCGGGTTATTAATAGTGTACTGCGGCCAAAATGAAAACCGTATGTAATAAATATTTTTTTTTTCATGACATGTTAGTCGGAGAATGCGTTATAATCTCAAAACTAAACGAGTTCAAATGTCTTATGCCCGCTTTAAATTGGACAATAATATTATTAACAATATATAATTGTACGAAAATAAAAACCGCAATTATTTTTTTTTTTTTTGATATCATTTTCTACATAATGTAATGTGGTATAGAAAATTGATTAAAGTGTGCCGAAACTAGGTTTTAAAAAAATAAAAACGATTTTTTCCTATATAAAAATGTATCACTCGAGTTAAATATCTAACAATTTTTCCAGCTAATTTCTACTTACTTGTTGTCTTTATTTACTCGAATACCTATATGCGTTACTGTGCTAAGAACACAGCTCTACAACCGAAATGACCATAAATCAATAATAAACCTATACCGATAATAACGTTTCCTTATTACACTGCAACATCCATTATATTTTATGTAATTTTTAATTATATCAAAAACCATAATAATAATAATAATAATAATGATAATATTATACGACTGAAAAGAAGTCGTGGATGTTCATAATTACCTAGCCAAGTATAATATGGCGCAATCGCAATGCCACGGATTCTTGGATAGCTTTAAAGATATCAAATTAGGTAGGTTATCGAAACAGTCGGTAGGTAGAAACTGAAACTTATTACTGTCAATGTGTCTGCAAAATAAAAATAAAATTCATTTATATTTATCCAAATGTAACAAACATTTAAATACTAATCATATAGTATCTAGCATAAAAAATCAAATTATAAAACCAAACGGACATATATCGCACGATGGGTGGGGCCACTGTTGTAGGTGAAAAGTTGAGAAGTTCGAAAGAATTTAATGCATATATGTACTTGGCGATTAAACCATTGCTAACAAAAAACGATTCTGAGCCGAATTAAATTACACACGTTTTGAAAGGCCGCAATATACGCAATATAGGTGCAATGCGGTTTGTAAATAATGCATTTCGTGCGTTTTCCCGTTGTTTCCATTTAATATGACAACCCCAGGAAAAATTAAAGGAATAAACTCTTTAATGTACCACCCCAGTTAGATTTTCTTTCAGAAAAACTGCTACACTTGAAAATCGGAGCAAAATTTCTGGTAGAAAAGTTGTTCACAGAAAAATGAAAATAAAAATGTACATCTTTGTAAAACCGATATATCCCTCGCTTTGCTCAGAATCTAAAATTTTATCACAATGGAATGTTTAGTGTATAATACCTGTTAAGTATAAAACTAAGTACATTTTAGAGTATATTAAGATAATTGCATACATTTCATTCAAAAACTATTGCAATCGATTGTTGTCTGAGTGCATTATTTTCTTTTGTTGATTATCAGTTGTTATCGTTTATTATTACCGTCTGAATTCAGGCAATTTTACAAGAAAATACAATTATAGTTATTACTGCACTTCAAAGTTCGAGAGAATAACAAATGAACAAATACAGCCACTATAATATTCTGCATCGAATATCGATCAAAACAAAGTGCACAATACCTGTTGGTTTCTACTTGTTAACTGTTTTACTTTGTCCTTTAATAATAATAATTTTTTTTTTTTTTAAAGTGCCCAATCGTAAATAATGTAAGGTAAAAATGATGCACATATATGTATTTATATATGATAATATATAGAATATGATGCGATTGAAATATATATTAATTACGCAATAAACTATACAGATGATCAGACAATAGTCTGAATATTATATACCTAGATTATATGAAAACGCTTACAATTTTCTGAGTTTCCTCAACGGTTCGAAGAGTTTGTCGTCGATAATTTTTAACACGTTATTGTTGAGAAACAAAGAGGTCAGATTTTTCAAACCGTAAAAACTGTCGATGTCCAACTGTTGGATGTTATTCGAGAAAAGATAAAGTTTTTCGAGTGAGGCCAAGTTTTTAAATGTTCGTTCCGGTATGAAATCCAAGTAATTTTGACCGAGATGAAGTTCGTTCAAAGCCACTAAGTCAATGAACTCGTTACCGTTCAACTATGACACGAATAACATTATGGACATAACGATATAGTTTACCAAAAATGTTGATTATATTACAGTCGTCACTCACCAAAGATATCCAGTTTTTAGTCAGATCCAAGTACACCAATCGACGCATGTTGTTGAATAGACCCGGGCGAATGAATGATATGCGATTGTTCCTCAAGGACAAAACTTCCAAGTACTCAACGTCGTCAAAGACACCTACGGAAATTCGCATATTATAAGTGCATTTGAAGAAGATTAATCGTAGCTTCGTGCAGTACCCAATGGAAGTTGTTGTAATTGATTTTCTTGTAACTTTAGTCTCTTTAAGGACACCACGCCTTTGAATAAATCAGAAGATATCTCTAATAGTGAATTAGACGACAAGTCAAGATCTTCTAGCCGATCTAGACCTTTGAAAATTGATTTCGGTAAAATTTCTATCTTATTGTCGTATAAATGTATCAACAACAAGTTTTTCGTCGATTGGAATAACGTTTCCGGCAACCGTTTAATATGGTTCATCGACATGTCTCTACAGTTAATATCAAATACAAGCGTGTAGGTTAAGCAATCATTTTTCATTTGAAATATAATGTTTTAAATAGAAACGCGTGAATACATATTATACTGTTATGTCAACATTGATGTCAAATTAATATAAAAATAAGGAGTGTAAAAAAAAAAAAAAAAACTGGCAAAGTAATTTATAATTAACTATCGCCGATTTGTACAAACGTTTCGTCAATAGAAAAATATCCGTTGTATTTTGTCATAAAACGAAAATATTATTGTAATAAAGACAATGCACAGATATTAAGAAAATTACAGGCATTTTTCCTACCAAGTGTATTATCATATTTAAAACAATTATTATTGTTAACTAATTTGTTTACTAAACTAACGCGTTTTGTTAGACAAACATTTTATTTTATATTTTATATTCAGATAAAAGAGAATGAAAATTGCAGTTTAATTTGATGAAAGATTAAATTGACCATAGTAAATAAATATACATTTTTATCGGTGCAGCGTTAAACTACAGTTACACTTGGCACCCTTTAACACGGCCCGCGCTTTATTACGGGATTTTTTAATACATGTATACAATTAATATTCAGTTTTAGATTAAACGAATTATGCAAAAAATGAATTATATAACGATATCTAAACATCCATAGAACTGGTTTAAAAACGTAAATCGACCTTTCTCCACTCGTTCGTTCTCTTTTTTCATCATACTTTTTTTCCTAATATCTTATTTGTAGATTTTTCGTTGTACCGTAACGCTATAATATTATTAATATATTATCATGTTGTATTCTCGTAACTGGAGCAGTATGTTAACGTAATAAAAAAAAAAAAAAATATATAATAATTATAAAACCGAAAATATACATTTGTACTGTACAGTTGAATTAATATTTTATTATAGCGATTAGATATTTTTAATAATGTTTTAATATTAGAATTTATCATAACGTTTAAAATAAAAACCGATTTATTTAATTAATATTAAGCTGAATACATTTAATTAATTAATATACCATACTGCATCGATAATTGCATACGACATAGCCAATATTCTTTCTTTTTTTTTTTCAATCGTTACTATCAAAAATAATAAGATAAAAAGTGTTTAAGGAACTATTGATAGTATAGTAAGTATAGTAATAATTTGAGCCTTCTATCTTGAAAATGTCCGAACTTTTTCTGCCAATTTGGCGACGGGTTAAGCCTCTTTTCAAAAGTCGATTACCGTGAACAATAATAATAATTTTATAATCCAAATGGTTGAGCAACTCTCAGGACGCGTAAAACATAAATACAAATATAATTTTGCCTTCAAAAAGGGTCTCAATAAATTATACTTTCGAAAAGAGGTAATGTCGGTATCGAGTAGGCGGAAAAATGTGCATAGATTCGCGAACGATTATTACTATGACAAGTACGGTAACCAGTATACGAGTTGATAGGCTAAAAAAAACCAATTAAAATATCCTCGAATACAGTGGTATGCCCAGGAATTTCAACGAGACGTAGCAAATAATCAAGAATAAATCGTTAAAATATTCTTCTCCGCCCAACTCGACTGCGAGAATTCAAAAGCCGAATCGAAAAAAAAAGCCACGTAGGTAATATGTAATCAATTAATCGAGCTATCCCTTGTGAATCGACTGAAATGTACACATTTCAAGATTAAATGCAAAGCCCTACTTAAGAATTACGGGGTTCTGGCCTAATTTTTTGACGGAGCCCTTAAGTCAAATTATAAATTCCATTTTTCCTCTTATCCAGTTCTGTAACAATCAATTATAATTATAAATTGTTTCAACCTTTAATTTTTAAAATGATTTTTTTTACAATGATGTTTATTTTTTTTCTGTAATCAACTTTTCTATTAGCAATTTTATTCGAAAGGAAATCTGACTAGGGTGGTACTTTAAACGGGCCATTTTTTTTTTATTTTTCCATGAGTTTTCGTAATAAATAGAAAAAAACACGGAGAAAATGGGAAAATAGAAACAATATTAAACAAATATTATTAAAGAAAATATATAATGCATATGCGATTATTTTATCATAATGCAACATATAATATATTAGATTGTTGACAAATCAACACTTTTAATTGAACTCTGCTCAGAATCGTTTTTCGTTAGCGATTACTAATCGCCGAGTACAGATATACATTCAATTTCCCCTCCGCCTTCCCAACTTTTCACCTAAAACAGTGGCCCACTGTTCCATTACGGACCGCCGACGCGCGCGCTATCATCGCGCGGGATGGCGCGGGCATGTTGCAGCGCAACGTTCCAATGTTGAAACGGCGGCGTCGCGGTCACACACACACACACCCCGCGGACCGGGTATTGTCGGCCGGCCGCCGCGCGTCCCGGTGGCAATCGCAAAACGACAGCGGAAACCGCATTGACGGCCGCGCGAGTTGAGTGCGGCCCAGTTAGGTGCCGTTTCGCGCGTGCGGCGTCGCACGCAGACATTTGCGCCGTGCACACGTTTGAAACGATCGAGTTCGGCGTCGCGCCGACGGCCGCGCGCGCGTCAACATTGTTCGCGCAACCGAAACGTTTTGCGGCAGGCCGAACGACATTTCAACGCGGACCAGGCGAAACGTCGCGCCCCGCGCGTGTTCGCAAAAGAAAACCGCTACGGCGCGTTATCGATTGTTAACCGCGCGCACGACGCATCCGCGTACATTTCCCCCCCCCCTAGCCTAGCCTGTAACGGCGGTTCTAAACATTTTTTTTTTATTTTTTTTTTTTTTAGGACTGCGGACCCGGATTTCCCCCCTCCTCCCGAATAATCGATCGCTACACGCGCGGTTTCGCTTTTCCAAGAGTAATTCATGCGAACGGCCGGGAAAACGTTAAGACCGCCTCGTTTTAAAGTTATCACCCCGGTCAGACGTCCTTTCGGAAAAAGCGCTCGACCCCGGACACCGGAGCGAAATTGCCGGTGGAAAAGCCGTTTACGGAGAGAAAAAAAAAACAACATTATAAAACCGACGCGTTCCCCCGCTCAGAATCTGGAAAAACATAAATTTCTCGAAATCCGTATCGTCCAGAACGATTTTCGCGGCCCGCCGTTCGAAAATTCCCTCGGGTCGTCGGCGGCCCGGCGGTCGCGACCCGCAGTCTGTGAAACGCCGGTCCACGAGTGTGCAGACGTACGTGCGGATACGCGTGCGCCGGTACGGTTCTCCCGGATTCGAATGCAAATCTTTCCGCGTGTAACGCATCCTGCGACGTCTCGTCTCCAACGCGCGAACACGATAACGTACGCCCGTGTATCGTTCGGATCGTGTAAATATCGCCTTGAAATAATTTAACGCGCGCAATCGCGGGCACACATCGTTAACGCGTTACGAGGCGACGAACCGATTGATTATCCGTCAAAATCGGTCTGTGATTTATCGGATAACAACGCGTGCGTATAATACGGCGTACGCGTGTACGGGTTCCGCCGTACACGAAAATGTTCCCGTTAGAAACGTCATCCCCGCCCCCCCCTCCGTTCGCGAAACGCCCGTCGAAAAGTACCGTTTACGTGCCCGGGCCGAATCGCGGCGAACGACTCCTAACGGCGTTTCGAAATGCCGCAAAAGTTTTCCGGTGGTAAATATATTTATTTCGAACCGTAACGAACGTTCTAAAACGAACATTCTTCATTCGACGGCGACAATATTCGCGTTCCGATATATTTATTGGTAGTTTTACGATTCGAAATAAGCGTGCGCCGTTTAGACGGCAATGTTATCGCGACACGTTCCGAACGAGTGATGATCTCGGTACGGTACGCGCGTTCGACCATTCAGTAATGACACATATCGATAATACTTACAATATTTGCATTTTCGAATTCTTTTTGAACAACAACGACACTTCTATTAAATGGTTCCTGTGAAATCGCCTGCGTCGGGGAAAGAAAAAACACACAGCGATAAATATTTTGTTCTTTATGATCAGATATAAAAGAAAATGTTTAATTCGTATTACAATTTCGTAAGATTCTCTAGCGTGTTGAAAATCGACGTGGGTATGTAGTCGATGTCGTTGTCCGTTAGATCCCTGTAATTTACACGCAAGTAAGTTGGTTAGCGTATGGGTCAGCCGTATAACACGTATAGGCGAACAATGATAATAATAATAAAAAAAAAAAAAAAAAAAAAATGCACTCACAGTTCTGTTAAATTTGTCAAGTCCTTAAATGTATCTTTGTGCAAAGACATGATTCGGTTGGTGCTCAAGTCGCTGTGTAAAATAAAAATATAAACGAAGATAAGAAATATTGGTAGGCGAAACGATATTTATTTTTTTTTTTACTCATCGCACGATACGAAAAATCGTTATTAATATACGGTAGGTACTATAGGACTCTTTAAGAAAAAAAAAAAAAAAAAAAAAAAATGTATAACAAAAATTATGTAATGTACAAAATAAATAGTAATCTCCGTTTGTTTGATGGGTATAATAAAAAAAAAAAAAACCCGAAACGACACATATTGAGTATATAAGTATTAGAATTTCATTTTTTTTTTTTATTTTTTTTAACCGCTGTTTTTCTCTCTTCAGTTCGTTGATGAACCGAATAATTGTATATTTTATTTACGTACATTGATTACGTTCGGCTTTTCAACAGTAATATCTAAAAAAATTATTGCGAATCGATTAACTAATCCGAAAACTCCGTCACGTCGAGGTCGAGAGAGCGCGCAGTAAAAACGCGGAATGTACAAATCCGGAACCCGGGGTTTCGCGGACGCCGAAATCCGTACCGCGCAAAGCCGAAGGGCGCGACTATGGAATGCGAAAGTCTCGGGCCCGCGCGCGTCCGCGGTCGGTCACTACGGGTTTTACGGATCTATCGAAATCCGAACGGCGCGTGAATCCGGAAAACGAAACGGTCGAATCGTACTACTCGACTGCCCGGGCATTATCGGTAAACACCGCGATTCCGTGGAAATTCGAGAATTTCGCTTTTCGGATTTCCGCGGGCTTTTTTTTTTTTTTTTTTTTATCGGGACCCGAATTTCAATCGCAACAGGCGTTACACATTTTCGCGTGTTACGCAACACCGCGGCGTACAACGACAAATATAACGGTTTTATTATAATTATTATTCGCGCGTGTCGTTACGGACTCCGTGCACACAAACCGGATGGTTTTAAATAAATAAATAAATACCGAACGCGGTAAACGATACGAAAAAAAAAAAAAAAAAAAAAAAAAAAAAAATCGAACCGAATAGAATAAAAGAGGTCAATAGAAACTACTTCTAATCACAAATAAACATTTCTCAATCGTTATTATTTATTTTCGAACAATACAGGTATGCGGACCGAGGTGTGTGTGTGTGTGTGTGTGTGTGAAGTGTTCGGTCTAAACGAGATACGATTTTTTTTTATTTTTTTTTTTTTTTTTTAAATCGCGCGGAATAATAATAATAATTGTCTCGTTATGCGTACACATTTAGCATGTTATAACGTGACCGCGATCGTTTGAATGATCGCACGAAACGGTCTGACGCATCACGTCAATTACACTGAAATGCTACAAAAAAAAAAAATAATAAAAACCGTTCCGTTTTGTACCGTTGTTAGGTTGTGTGTTTTTTTTTTTTTTTCTAATTATCACCATTGTTGTTTATCTCTCCGGGATGGTCGGGAGGGCGAAAAAAACCGTCGCGCAGAGTAATTTCCATTTCGTTCGCGACATTTCGACGGCGGCCTAGTTCGGTTAATATATCGTTTTTTAATCGTCCGGCGAAACGCAATGCGTTTTTAAACGTTCTCTCTCGCGTTTCGGAAAACGCGCGGATCCCGTGCCCACCGGACGGTCTTTCGGATTCGGATTTAATCGCGTGATAATCGGTCGTTTATTCGACAATGCGACGCATACACGCACGTTTGTGTGTACGGCGGCGTCGGGGGAAGGGGTGGGGGGGGGAAACGAGGGGGAGGGGAATATCGTCGGGCGGTCGCGGTGGACAACGTTGGATAACAACGGTGTCCGGCGCGTAAATACGTCTGGAAAAGTAACGTGGGCAACGGACGGCGTTGCCCGTGCGTTTCGATCGTTATTTACATTGCGTTCGCGTCGATCGGCAGGGTCTGGCCGGACGGGATTTCTTCAAAGTCCTTTCTCCAACAGCTCACCGAATGCGTTTCAGTTCTGCACTTGCACGGGCCGCGGCTGCAACGTTTCCACCGGTCGACGCCGGACGCGATTGTCCACACTGAAACGACAGTACCCGCGGTTATTAAAAATAAAAATAAAAATGTACGCATTTACACGTCTATACACGTGTACTAAACCTTTTGGCCGCCGCGGATGCCGGAACCGGCGAACGCGGAGGGCGGCGATTGAGTGGAGACCGTGCCGGGAATGAGAGACCGAAAGGAACCGGCGGAGTCGATGGACGAGGTAGACCAAGACCCGAGTAAATTATCGGGTGTAGCGAACCGGCAAGGGAGGGGGATGGGAAATCGCGAAGCGTGTGTGGGGGGGGTGCAGTATAGTCGACGGGAAAAACACTTTAAGAATTGCGATACGCCGAAGAAATCAGAACGAGGAGACGTATTATCGCTGGAAACCACGATAGATCGTTGCACGCAAATAACTACGGTTCCGGATTCGGAGCTATCGGATCGAATTATCATCGAGTTTATCGTTATCGCCGGTTTCATCGCATACCGGCATTGTCGCGCTGCCGCTTTCCTCCGCTGTATCCTGCGGCCGCACTTATGATTCCGCCAGAGTCGTATACCGTGCGTACCGCGACACACGGTCCGCAATGTCTCCGTTATTCACTCGCACGCCCCTGAACCAAACCTCCGTTCACTATTATTGTGTCAAAGTGCGCTTACCTATATCGCGCGCTTAAAACACCGCCGCCTGCCCGATTCGTAAACGTTACAATACTTTGGTCCCGGAGAATAAGGGCTTAAGACGAGTGTCTGTAGTTTTGCGATACGAGAGAATGCGCATTTCAAACAATACGTAAACCGCGCTATGCGCGCTCGTTTTTAAAATACACGAACGGAACGAAATAATCATAAAGAAATATAAAAAAAAAAAAAAAAATATACCGAAAACGTACTTCTTCCCCGGGACCAAAGTACCACGTGTAATAGAATATCTAATAAACGCCGTGTTGTTACTCGCCGGGCTGTTCGACGGATCGCAGCCTCCTGTCCAACCGTTGCAGTTTGGCCTCGAGCAGCTCGCCCCTGTCGCCGTCGCCGTCGCCGTCACCGCCGCCGCCGCCGCCGCGCAACTTTTCGTTGATCGGCCACACCGCGTTGGCCAAATCGTCGCGCATCCGCACGTACGCCTCGCAAGCGTTCAACGTGCACACGTCCACCCGCTCGGCCGTCCAGTTGTCGTGACGCGACGGCGTCCCTGCCGTCGGCGGCCGGCCGAACGGGGCGCCGACCACGGGGGTCTCGGGCCCGGTGCGTCCTACCGCCGCCGAGCCGTACCTGAACAACGCGGAGGCGGCGTAGACGGCCATCAACATCGGGAACGCGGCCGGTCCCCGCGAGCGTTCCGCAGCTCTTCGGATCGTTACGCGGCGCTTCATCGTCGTCTCGACGGGAACGTCGTCGGTCGAGTGTGCACGCGTCCCGGCAGTGTCCGCCGAAATAAATATAAAAAACGAATTAAAAAAAAAAAAAAAACCACAACTCGCGGAAATCGAAAATAATAATTTGTTGTATGCCCGCGCGTTGTGCCCCCGTCGGTGAAATTCCGTATTGTCCCGTTCATTGCGGTCGTCCGGTCCGGAATTTCCGTTCGACAATAATACCTAATAATCGTTATATTTACGCGAGTCGGTCGTTCATTGTCGCAGTCACGGGATGTCCCGTTTAAGTCGCTTGCCGTTGTTTTGTTTGTTTGTTTTGTTTTTTTTTTTAGTAACGATTGTTGTTAATCGTGAATGAACGGTTTGACGTGTATAAAGGTTCAAACAAAAGCGTACAAATTATCTGTGTGCGGAATAACGAATGGTTTTCGGATTGGAGTAGGCGTGCATCAGAGTTCGGCTTTGAGCCCTTACTCGTTTTCGGCTGTTACTACTGCGGTACCGTGGTGCGTGCGACGTTTACGGACGATACAGTTTTGATAGAAGACATTTTCGAAGTAGTTAACAATAGATTCGAGGAACGAAAAGTGGCACTTGAAAAAAAGGGACTACGGGCGAGTAGAAGTTGAACCTTGAGTGTACAGAATATGAATTCGGAGGAACAGGACAAGACAGAACGAGGTGGCAAGGTTGACGAATAAACAGTGACGCGATAGGCGAGGTTAAGAGTTACCGTTACCTAGAATGTTTTATACAAAAGAACTGTGGCATTAATGAGGACGTGTATTAAACGTGGTTGGACCAAGTGGAGAGAAGTTTCGGGTGTTTTATGTGACAATGAAACTTAAAGGTGAGTTCTACAAGAGTGCAGTGGCTGCGATGAAACCGACAATATTGTATTTGGTTCGAAATGTTTGGCGGTAGACGGAAAAATAGAACAGAGAATGAGTGTAGCGGAGATGAAAAAGCTTAAGTGGACGAGTGGAGTGGCGAAAGAATAGGATAAGGAACGAGTACAGTTGACGAAATCGGAGAAAATAAATTGAGATGATGGTTCGGGCGTGTCGTGAAGAGAGAGGTATCAGAAGCCGTAAGAATTGTAATGAAAATAGAAAAAAACAAAAAAACCGTCACGAGAAAATAGGTTCGCGACACGAGTAGGCCATTGCGATTGTGGGCGGCGAGTCGGTATAATATATTCGGGCGATTTAGTTTAAATACGCGCGCGCCTTTTCGCGTGGTGACTGGCGTGAAGTTTTTTTTTTTTTTTATTCTCATATCCGAATATAAAAGCCAGTTTTCGACCATAATGTTATTGCAACAGTTATAGGTCTTCTAAAAAAACCACGATAAATCGCACGCCCGATTTCGCTCTATAAACGATTCGCGCGGCCAATAAATAACGATACATTGTTATAATAACCGTGTGCGCAAACCGAATGCCCGTTATAATATTGTTTTGAGAGTGATTTTATACGCGAGCAATATTTTGTAATATTATAAACTTACATTTTTTTTTTTTTTTTTTCGCGTTTTGTAAATATTTATTATATTGTATTGCGTGTACGCGTTAAATACGTTAATAAATACAATATATAATAAAAAAAAAAAATAAAAAAAACATAATAATAAAATAAAATAAAGAATATGCACCGCGTATATTATACGACGCAAACGAACTCGCGCGCGCGGAAAGTTGCCCTAGAAAACGATATTAAACGTGTTTGCGCAACGTCGTGTCGGCGGTCATTTCTGCAGTTAGTCACAATGACACAGAAACGTTATTATTAATATTGCTTTTGAATATTTAATTACGGGACACGCTGGAAGGCCGATGACAAACGCCGTGTTTTTTCGTTCAATCGGTTTAAATTAATACGAACAATACGATACGCCTATATAATATAATTGGCCGGCATTGTGCACTCGTAAATATCGATCGCATTGATTACCGATACAGCATCCACGTTCGTAATGCAGCGCGTATAATGCACCTATAGAGTACAATATGATAACGTAACGATTATAATTCACTCTGTTGCGCACGCGAGTGTCGTACCAAGTATGCGTTTTTTTTGTTAATCATTATATATGTTAATAAATTGTTTTTAAACTTTATTTTTAAATGGTTTCTTCAATCAAATTCCTAGTATATAAAATAAGTATATTGGCTTTTGACGTTCAAATATCGTAAAAAGTCTCATTTCTCTACTGAAAAATGACACTTTGAAAAAATCGATTTTACTCGAAATTCACGTAGACGTGTTAGTCGGATCACGGTTAAAAAAAAAAAAAAAACCAACTTGTATGCGTGTGTATGTAACGCATACATCATACATACATTTATACTCGTTCTATACAAGTTTTATTTATTTTCTATAAACCGCGTGACACAATATAATGGCACGCTGCACGCGGTTTCAACAAAACTATTAAATTGAACGTGCGACTATCGATGTACAATATCCATTATGATATCGCGCGTTTGAAAAATATTGACCCGACAAATATAATATTAATGTCGTAAACCCGGTGTTAAAATTTAACAGCTCGATAAATGCGTGATTCCGGTATAACATTAGCAGTGTTAAATTATATATCGGAAAAAAAAAAAAATAATAAAACACCCTTCACGCGAGTAAATTTAATACGCGGTCAATCGAATTATACGAAAATAACATATTTTACTACACAACGGACAACGTCAATTAATAATAACTGATTGAACGATTGCAAGTATCTCTAATAAAACGCGGAACATTATCACGCGTCGTAATTATTACTTTACTCTGCGTATTTACATTTACGCTGAGAACGATACCGACACGAGCCGTTTCTCGCGAATTAAATTTATTTAGGGATCGTGACTAGCGACGAAACGCTCATACGAATAACTCGATAGCCCACCTCGGTTTAAACTAATAGACGCGGCACAAAATCGCGTACAAAACGTTAATATGAATTATAAAAAAAATTCGACTTTAGCCCTATTGCACGGACACCGTCCTGTTTAGTCGTCGAAACGCACTCCTGTCGGATCGTTTTTCCGTATTTATACCGTCGAATCACTCGTTGAAAATACTAATGACGTAACATACTAGGACCTGGACGAACAGCCATACGTTTATTCGTTTGCTGTGCACTTGTTTTCAGTTATTATGAAAATTACTAGGAAAATAAAATCGATGCACTGACTAGTTTCAAAATTAAAAAAAAAAAAAAAAAAAAACTTTCGTCTTATTTTGATTGGAGTAAGATTTCTGGTGAAAAAGGTAGTCCACAGACTCAAAATTAATAACAATTCAAAATGAATAAATAAACACGCATCATAGTACGTAAAGCTAAAAATAGTGTCAATTACAGAAATTACCTCGTAAATTTTAATATGTGTACACGTCATAATCATGCACTTCGATTATTATTTATTTAATCCAAAAACCTGTAAACCTGTAAATTTGTTTAAAATCCATGATATCCCCCACCCCCTATTTCCTAACTAAAAATACTCAAACATTATATGAAAATGCGATTATTTATAATCCACGGTTAAAAATGAAGCAATATTATTTGAAATTAAAATACGTTTTTGTAATTTTTACCACAGTTTTCTTATTCAGCGACAAAAATCAAGTGTAGGTATTACTATAAAATTAAAATGTCTGTCTACAAAAAAGTCAGGTTATTAAGTATATTTAAAAATATATATATATTAAAAAAATCAATTATTGTATTTCTCGATTTTCGTTTTAAATGTTAAACAATTTTTTTTTCTTTTTAAATCATTTTATCATATCACTTGCTGTGATGAAAAATATATCTTATCTTCAAGGTCGTATCTTTTTTTAGTATCAACCATGGAAAAGGTCATATTCCTATTCATCCAAAGAGATTAGATTAGAATTGGAAAAAGTAACTTTTAAAACTTAACGCGTAGTTAAAGTTCACATATAATACAACGTATTAAATTTAGAATAATAAACACGTGTGTTCAATAATAATTTAATTTAATTCGTTGGAATTTTCAATTTGAGAGGCTTCACTTACATAATGATATTATAGGTACCTATAGAATCTACAACGGACAGAAAATGTGTTTTCGTATAATAACAATTTAGTGAAAATACGAAAAAACGTGAAATTGAATTTTTAAATGCTTTTGGTTCTGTGTAAAATAAATTATAAAATCATTGTGATATTTTTTAATAAATGTTTATTAATAGAAAACATTGTGCATGTATGTATTATATAATAGCTACTATATGTTATGTAGATATAATTCTAAATTTGTACGAAACGAATATTTTTGAAATATTTCATAAAAGTTGTGTGAAACATTTCATTAAGACGAAACAAAAAGTGCATATAATTTATTTTTAAATTTTAATCTCGAAAAGTAATTATAACAGACATCAACTTAAGGCATTGAATAGTTCTGCCCTTAGTATTTTGAAAATTGTTAGCTAAAACTTGAAAATATCCGCAGTTAACAAGTATTGATAAATAGTTCAGTCAGTTTTAGTTTTTATCACTAGATATTTGTTTGCTACGGCACGAGGCCAAAATATATAAAAATATATTACAGACTAGTGATCCTATATGGAAACGAGCAATAGTTCGCCACCGAGGTAGAATTTAAAATATAAGACACGAAAAACACTTGATCGGCTGAGAGCAGGGGTAGCCAGAACTAAGACAAATTTAGTGAAATGGAAAAAAAAAAGACGACGATGATCAATGCAAATGTGCACGCATCCGGGACGAAAAACACTTATTGGACGGATATGTTTTTTAACCCGAACGACGCGGTCATAAAAGTGTAATACGAAACCGAACCGAGGAACAATAATGAAATATATTTGTCTACATTTCAAACGTGAAAATTCCAAGTGAACCACAGCCATATGTTTATATATATATAAATGCCTATAACGTAACGTCTTGTGATTTATTACGATATTTAATTTTTATTTCAAAACCGTTTGAAATTTATTACGGAT